GGCGAAGTTCTTCCATTGACCTGCTCTAGTCTTCCGCGGATGGTATGGCTGCTCCGAAGGGTCACCATAGAACAATCTCGAGTGTTTCGCGCCTGCTCTGCCCGTGTACTGTAGGCGTCTCAGTTGGAACAGGGTGTCGATCCAATGACCTAGACTCATCCAGTCGACCTGTTGACACCGCTGGCGGCGTGGTTTGGTTCCAGAGCTCGGAATCGTTGAGTTAGTTGCCTGTTGATGGAAGGTGGGCAGGGTGCTCGACCGCCCCCTTGGTGGCCAAATGTGACTTGCTTGAGCATGCTCTGTACTTTGTCGATACCGAGAGAGTTGATCAAGGCCTCAGATGCATAAAGGCGTTGGTATTCCCAATCTGGTTGCCTTACATTCGCTTCGCCCTCTTGCACCTGTTCGTCTTTATTCCTTCGTGGCAGCACACCGCCGTTTCTCTCGGTCCACTTCATCTGGAGGTAAGCAGGACGAAGCTCAGTGTGTGTTCCTCATGACCAAGCCAACCTTCGGGGCAAACCGCAAGAACACGAAGCGCGTGCTCAAGCCCATGCATGCCGTGTCCTTTCCACACCGGAGAAAGAGACTTGACACCGTCACGGTAGACGACCCAAGCTCGCTCCAATAGGGAGGACACAGAACACAGCCTCGTTCCCCCCCTTCGATCTTTTGGTTCCCCCGGATCGCTTGCAAGGATCAATGTCGTCGATGTCAGGGGGAGAGAAGCTCATCGACCAGGAAGGAGAGCCCATTGAAGGAACACTGAGATACTGGAACGTCGATGGAGACAGAAATGGCACCTGCGCTTTGCTGGTAGCGCCCACTGGACATGTTTGCATTCAAGCTGGTGGAGCCGGCACTTGATACCGATGGTACCTGGATTCATCTTCAGGACTGGGACAGAACACCTTGGAAGATTAAGTGATTGATGACAGCAGAATGGACGTTGTCTTCGACGAGCACTCTTCTCAGCAAAAATGCTCTCTTGGTTTGGCGAGACCGAGCTGACTCATTTCCTTCCGAATCTGAGCCAAGTCGTCGTGTATTTCCTTCTCGTCCCCTGACTGCCTCAGTTGCTCCTCACTTTTCCTTTTCAGGTTCCTTTTCAGGGGGGGCTTTCGGTCACATAGTTTGAGATATGTGTCTAAACAGGGTGACGTCGAGTCAAGCAGACCGAATTGTTGCGGTCCTCTCACCTGCGTTGATGTTTCGTTGAAGACTCGCGTATAATAGTACGACTAACTGCTGGGTTAATAATATCGGACATGTAGACTCTAAACTCGACATATTCGATGGTAAGTAAGGAAATCCAGGGCCTCGTATCAACTCTTTACAAAATGGAGAGAGACGTCTGGTGCGAACGTCCAAAAAACCTGACTGACTCATTCTACTCTCCCTGTGGTGGACGTGTGACCGCGGTCAGGCGGTCGAGGGCGTTGAAAAGAATGTCAAATCATGCGAGGCGCTATCGAGGCCCAGCACCTTCAAGCGTTGCTGAAACCGAAAGCCTGCACAGTACGGCCGCATCTGCGGTCTCACCGTCGACGAAATGTTTGTCGACACCCGAGCAAGTGGGCATGATGGATATCAGCTTCCATGGCTGATAAATCTATGAGCATTACTGAACAGTTGTCGCTTATTTTCCTTGCTTCGGTGCTAATGTCACACAGCATCGGACATTTTCGTCGGCGCCGTCCTCGACGGCGAGCACAGAAGCACCAACATTACCCTCATTCTGAGTCCTCCTAGAGTCATTGGAAAAGGCGAGAGTAGTGGAGGGTGAAGGCCAACGGAGATTGCATCAAACCGTCCACGTTGATGGTGTATGTGCCAGTCGCAATCCTTGGCCATCTGACGAAGATACAAAGCCACGCAGACTGGTGCAAAAATATTACTCAAGGACTGTCACAAGCGAGGAAGGCCCGGGTCGAAATGCCAAGTTTCGCCGCTATCGTGTCGACCAGCAGGGCTACAGGAGAGAGAAGAAGGCAGCACGGCGGTTGAAGGCTTTGGAGAGAGGTAAGGCGGATGAAGGGACTCCTGGGCGTTCATCAGCACGTCAGGGTAAGGAGTCATGGTGGGAAACAGGAATTGACCAGAACAGAGCGCCGACCTAAGGGCAGAATGGAGAGCACGCCCCTCAACGAGACGGGTCTGGAAGCCTGGAGCAGAGGTTGAGGAAGCTATCAGTAGAGATTACAATGCAGCTGGAATCACTCATGTTGACGGCAAGGAGAACGACTTCCTGAAGTTTGGGGGACCTACAAGCCCTTAGACGCAAAAAGTTTCGAAACTGGAAGATGCTGGCGCCGAGGCGTCCGACTCTGAAAACCCGGCTGAGTGATCTCATAGGGTGGCTATTAAGAAAGAGGTCTCGCTGCACAGGACGGGTGAAGTGTGAATGAGTCGCCGAATGCAGAAGCGGTACCACGTGTCCTTTAGTCTTTTGTGGCCTGGTGGCCTCCACCTCCAGAGGGTCCTTCCCGGACCTAGGAGGGGAAGGACATCGAGACAGAAGAGTTACTAACGCAGTCGAGGGGCGTATCGGCGTCGTAGACTACGCTAGAGTCCTGAGAGATGTCGATCAATCACTTCCTGATCTCGGCGTTCTTCGCAGCTCAAGATGGTCTGATGGTCGTGGTTAAAACATCGTGGGCCTCGTAGGTATGCTAATTAGCGAAAATCGCGCGGGAAGTCAAATGAGTCTTGATTACACCCTTCTTACGGTTCTAAGGAGAGGCTTGAAGAGCAGATTGTGATTGAGGACAGAGGATAGAGACCAGAGTCCTCGGGTGGGATCAATTCGAGTACTAATCCCGCGATTGTTGTACATCGCCACCAATTTCCTTGCTGAGCGATTCGAAACCCGGCGCTCGGTCCTGGTTTTCTCTCGTTCTGGCCCGGCCGAATTTGAGTCCTCATTCCTCAGGCGCTGACTCCCTGCCCTTCGAAGGTCGAGTCGATCCAGCCCACGGTGTCTAGTCTGGGTATGTTTCCAGCTTTCGACCACATCACCGTAGAGCACTCATTACTGCGGCTGAGGCGCATGTCCGACGGTGTCTGCTCTCTTACTCTTTTTCCATGCACGGATCCCGTCTGTTCAATGGATCTGCAGGATGGAAGAACTGTGCGTTCTCCCTTTACTCAGCCCCAAGTATAGTCGCTGTCGGGCAGAATCTGAACGATTCAGCCGCCCATGAGACCGGCTCTTGCATAGGTCCGTTCTGCAAAGTTGGCAGGTCTTCGCCAGCCCAGTGACTCAGTTGCCTACGCCGATCCGTGAAGTATTTCCGCCGTTGGTCGATCGCTAGGCCGTTCGATTTATTCGCAGCAATATGTACAGTCTCAATTGTGTCATAGTGTTCCATATGTAGTCCTATTCAAGCGATCACCTGGATCGCCTCCGAGAAGGACAGAATTACCACCATCTTCTGACTGAGAACCCCGTCCCCACGACACAGTGTGAAAGTAGACAGGCGGGCACGCTGAGAGTGTCACCGCTTTCGTCGTGTAGATAGCGGTGGCGCCCTATTCGGAGACTAGGGCGAGAAGTCCTGTACGGGGCGGAAGAGTGGCTGTGAGCCCGCTCGAGCGCTCAGAGAAGCCCGCATTCTCTTCGGAAGGTAGAGGGTCGGTAGAATTCGTCGAAGGTGGTCGCTCGACGGGGAGGACTCGTAGAAAGGAGGGAAATTATTTGCTTCAAAAGGTCAAGGAGTTGAGTGGTCGAGTGGGACGTACGAGGACTCACGGGCGACGTCGAGAAACCTGGGCGGAAGAAAAGGAAACTCGCGAAAGCGGTGAGAGGGGTTCTGTGCCAATATATCTCCAGCAAGGGCGAGTTCTGGCTCACCCTGACTCGCGAGCGACCGGGGTGAGCACAGGGCGGCATCACCCTTGACCCGATCGGGGGTGAGGCGCGAGCAGCTTGACCATCACTTGGCTTTTCCCACACGCGGCACCATCTCGCCTCTCCGCTGTCCCAGATCGACAGCTTGTGCGCGCCTCAGATCCATCATTCCCCCTGACTTCCTTTCATTAAGTATCATGAAACACCGTATGCCAGAAATTCCATCCTACAGTATGCTGAAAGCTGAAGCTCCCATGCAAACTCTGATCGGAACGCATGCCATCCGAACCTCCTTAGCTCCACAACTTTGTCTAGACCTCTCCCTCTTCCACAGGCCTGCTGTTGCTTCAGGAAGAAGACTGAAAAGAGAAGAGGACAGAAGATCTTGCACCCAATCTCGAAAGGAGTAGTAATGGCCCTACAGAAATAATACTGAACTCTGGCAGCATTATGGACAACTTCAAATGCGATTTGAGAAAGCAGAAGACTTGGGCGAGAAGCGGATGCCTGTGGCTTGCACTGTTATATCCATCAAGCGCAGAGACGGTAAGTCCAGAGTCGGCGAGAACGACTGAACGACACCGTCACTATAGTGGTATCCAGTCGAGATGGCTGTAATCGACACGCTGCTGTGAAAATGGCACAGCCAAGCTGGAATGCCTCCCTGAAGCCTTCTGCCACGCCCCAAGGCTCGACTTACTCTCCTATTGTTCTTTTTGCACCGCACCCCGATTCATTCACTGGCACAATTGGAAAAATTTTTTCAATAGCCGTCCACCCATTGGCTCAGAAGAAGTCGACAGTGAAGAAATATCAAGCGGCTGGGAAGAGATGGTTCCCCCTTGGGTCAATAAGGTGAATATTCACACTGATGAAGTTGAAATCTCTTCAATGTCATTGCGTTCTCTTTCTCTCACCTTTCTACAATCCTCCATCTCCCTTACAAAGTCCAATGTGTCGTTGTATCTGTTTCTCTATTCATGTGCCATTGTGATCTCAACAGCCCAGTCGTGCAATCAAGACTCTCTTACATCAACTCAATTTCTCTCAAGTGAGATCGGCCCAGTCAGTGGTTTGGCAACGCAAGGTGCCTGTCTTCAGTGCACCTCACGTGGGACTCCCTGATCCTGAGAAGAGAAGAGTCGAAGACATGGAGCTTCCATTGGACTCCAAAGTCACTTCTTCTGAACGCAGCAACAAATGCTGGTACAAGAAACTCAGCTTCAATTCCCGCAGTTTTGGCAGAAGTGGCCGTTCCTCTCTCGCCTCCACTGGCATGTCGGAACCCCAAGCAAGAAGCGAGGATGAATATCTTCTCAACAAACCCCTCCCTCCTCTTCCTCAACCTCCCTATTTCGAGTACATGTTCGCGGACGCTGGTCTGAAAATGAAGATGTCTGACGAGTCAATGACACGAACATTCGAAGCACACGACAACAATGCGCAAGGTAAGCTCATACTGTCCACTCACATTGGAATTTCTAAACAATTATTCCTTCAGTTGCCCATGAACTGGAGGCCAATGAGTTTCAAACTCGGACGTCCAATTCCCCCAATTCAGGTTTCATCCTCGACACACCCGAACTAGCCCAGTTTGCCTTCGCCCGAGCTGGTGTGGACGTGACCACCAAAGGTATGGCATCGTATCGAACTTCTCTGCTCTGTACCTTCACTAACCAAACTAGATGTCATTGACAACCACTTTGCAGCTCTTGGCACAGGCCTCGAAGGGCCTCTTTACATTGACGTGGAGGAAGAGTTGGAAAAGGAAAAGGCTACTGAGTCGTTCTTTGGCGGTGTTGAGGCGAGAGAGGGACCCTCTCCAGATCACATTCCGGTGGTCGATGAGGAAGGCTTTGCCGATCGAAAAGAAGGTCTGGAGGACTGGCCTCAGCTGTGGGCACCAGACAAGGCTCAGAGGACTACTCTGGCCGCCAACTCCAAAGTCCCCGAGCCTGAAGACTTGTCAGTCCAATTACTCGGCAAGCAAACTTCCTCAAACGAAGACAACCAGTCCAGCGACGACAAGCCCATTCTCCAGCCCAAATCTCGGAAGAACAAGATCAAAGGCTTCCTTCGAGATCCCTCCTTTCCTGATTCATACTACACTGCCGACGGTATCATCACCTTTCCGACTACCCAACCTGTCCAACCCGTCCAAGCTCCGCGTCCGTTAACGATCCGGAAGAAAGGTGAGTTTTATGAAATACAATGTTTCTCCTGTCCAAAGTACTAACAGACTCTCTCCAGTCAAGAAGAGGAATGCTCGCGACTCATTCGTGACCAGATCCACGGGCAATGAGCATGAGCGGACATCTGATGGTTAGTATTCTATTGCAAACACCTCTTTGGTGCTCCACCCCTGAGTCTCCTAAAATTTCTGACCGGTGAATACAGACGACAATATCCATCTCCTCTTCACCAAGAAGATTCGTGTGGCTGAGAAACTTGTTGATCAAGATGTCAACAGCAGCCGCGTCGTCTCAATGTCTGGCTCCATCTCCGATGACAGCTCATCCGCCTCCTCCTGCGACGACCGCAGCCACAACAGCTCCAGCACCGAGTTCACCGACATCACCTGCGACGATGACGACTCCGACGCTGCTCTGGCTCTCAAGCGCAAACGCCTCACCTCCGGCGGCTTGAGCGGCTACCCAGGCCAGTTTGAATCCTACGAAGCCGACTACCTCCACGTGCGCGCCGCCCACAGTTCGACCCTGGGTGCGCCGACCCCTTTCACCATGGGCGACCCGCTCCACCCGAACAACGAGTTCACGCACACAAACTTTGTCGAGGACCCGACCTACCCGTCCAAGAATTACACCAAGGCCGACCTGGACGCTCTCCCCGTGCGCTCTACCGCCCTCACCCATGCCGAACGCTGTGCCGCGCACGCCGCGTCCCTGGGCGACATCCGCTCCGACGTCGAAGAGACCCTCCGTCGGGAAATCCACCGTGAGTGTGCCGCCGCGCGACTCGAGGGCGTCTCCGTGGGCCAGTACCGCTACTACCAGGGATTCATGAGCTTGGAAGACTACATTGCCGCGCGCATCTGCGTCTGCTGGGACTTCTGCTGGTGCAGCAAACTGTGCACCATCTACGGCGACGTCCTCTGCCCATGCAGCGAGTGGATCGGCGTGCACGGCGATTGAACGGTCCAGGTTGCGGTCATCCCTCGAAGAGTTCACACGAACTGAAACCCCAAGATGAAAATGAGAAGGAAAAACAGCAGAAATTCCTTTCATGAAGTCCGAGAGGACTTGGTCATTTGATGGCTTGAGTCATCAAGTCAAGTCAGCAAAGCCGCCCTGCGCTCTACTGGCCAATTGGGACAGAGTTTCCTCACAGAGCCAGAGTGCTCTGCCACTGCACGTGCAGAAGAAGAGTGGCAAATGCGGCATAAATTTCTTTCCTCGCAATTTCATTACCCCCTCCACTCACACAAAGACGATATCAACCATCCGGGAGGGGAAAACAATCTCCAAAGATGAAACACCGCAGGTTGTCTCAAGGAAAACTGTCAAAGATGGCACTCCCTCCACCTCCGGCAAAGAACGACTCCAGCCCTTGAAAGCGAGAGAGGGACCAAAAAAAAAAGGCGGAAAGTGAAGAGAAACACTGAGAAAAAAAAAAAAACAGAAGCAAAAAGCTCCACAGACAATGCTTCGTGCGTGTGTTTTCCGTTGGTACGGTCTCAAGCCTCCAGAGAGATGAGATGAGGGGAAAGCGAGCCATCTCGCCATTGCTTTTTGCGGTTCTAGCCTGCGCATGTGCATGAGTGTGCAGGAATGGAAAAAGGGGATTTCAAATCGGTCGGAGTTGATTCAGGATGGACTTGTTCTTGGTATACCATCACCATGGCGTGCCAGGATATCATGGTCTAATGTTTTTACTTTGCTCGAGCGCAGTCGTGTGCTGGTTGGACATGATCGAGCTGGATTGGACCGAAATTTGTTCAATAGGGCAATGAGTGATTGGGTGCTGATAATAGGCGGTGCAATATCGGATGAACAACAGAAAGACACACAGACACACAGACAGATCATGAATGTTGGACGATGGCTGATAGATGCTGGAATACTGGAAGGAGAGATCCTCCTTAATGGGCTGCTCGATCACAACACAAGGGGGAAATTGGGTCTCATACCTACATATGTAGGTATCAAGAACGTGTGAACTGAGACTGGGACTGAGACCTTACATGTCAAGTCATGAATTGGCTACCGACTCATGTCATGTCATGCCATACCATACCATACGTCCCCTGGATATGGGAATGGAATGTTAATACAATAATCGACATGATGAACTGCGCTTCGACTCTTCCTTGTATAGTTTCAAAAAACCACCAACTCACTCGCTCACTCACTCACTTACTCACATCATGTACCTCCCCGCCTAGTTCTGTGAAAAGCGGAGCGACCAGCAAGCGGCAGGACATCAACATTGAGGAATTCTTGCCAAGTGCACAGAGCGCTTCCTGCATTCAGCGGCGTGGACAAGAATATTCGCAGAGAAAACAACAAGTGCTATCAGTCAGTCATGGTCATGGTCATGGTCATGGTCATGGTCATGGTCATGGTCGGTGACTAATACTCAATAGCAAATAGTCAATAAGATGTAAATGGAATTAAAAAAGAAGAGCTATGAAATCAAATCAAGATCGAATGTCCAGCCAGCTCTTTGTAGTTTTCTTCGAGCAACGAGCACAAGATATTGACCATGTCCCCACCCAGCGAGGTGGGCTTGAAATGTTCTCATAATCTCTCACGGCTTTCAGCCTCAGCATCGGCTTTCGTCGCAGTTCCAAATTCAAAGTTCCAGCTCCAACTTTGTGTTGATTCTGTGCGTTGTGTTGATAGAAAGTATCCGTGTCTTGGTGCGAATCTTCGTCCTCATATTTCAATGCTGCTCGACTATGGTACCCCAAAGCCATCACATGCACTAACACTCAGTGATCAATCGTCGAGCGCTCGAAAAGCCCATCCATCCGCCTATGTTGTCACCATTCGCCCCCAAAATTGTATCTCTTTCTCATAAAACAAAGCCATCTTCAGATGTCGCGTGTCGACGAATCAAGGCTTCACCTCCTCGATTTGCTCCAACTGCCACGTTCAAGGAGACAATAGACCTTTCAGGAATCGGACGGTGTTTGTCATAATACCTGTGGAGGAAGAAAGGGTTAGCCACGAAAACAAGGGATGCTGTCCTGTACAAGATGACCACTCAAACCTTACCTGTGGGCACATCCCTCGCAGGGGTCGAGTCTTCTTCTGCATGACCAGCAACGTTGGAGGCACTGTCCTCGGGTCGGATTTCGACATGATTAGCTAGCTCCTGTTGAAGCATCTGGTTGACAGAGTCTGTAGCCGTGGAAAATCTCGTGGCAGATACGGACGAGGCCGAGATAAGAGAGAATGACGACTCTCGCATGGTCACAGTGTCGTCGGGGGTGCTCTTGGAAATATGGGCCCGGCCTTTTGGAGGCAGCGTGATTATCATCCCGGGTTTCAGGCTCTCCAGAGTGATTTCGCTGTCGGCATTGACAAGTCCTTGCTGCCCGTCCATGAAGACACCACTCAATGGAGTAGCTGGCGGAGAGTACTCGATGCTTGGAAGTGGTCTGTCAGAGGGATGCATGCTGGACTGAGTGTTTCCTTTGGATACAGCAGGGAGATTTGGTCGAACTTCATTCGGTTTCACGGGTGCTGCCGCTTTGGTGGACAATGGCTGCGATTTCTTGATCCGCTTCGCTTTCGCCTTCGCCTTCCGATCATCCCTCGGGCTGGAAATAAGCGAATCGTCGTCTTCTGACTTGATCACTTTGACATCAGCAACATAGTCCTCATCTCCTCCTGAAGACAGAATGGCGCTAGAATCAACATCACTGTCCAAGAAAGCCTTGATGTCAAAATTCAACTTCTTTCCCCTGGTGCGGCGGCGAGACGAAGACGGCTTGAAGTCAATCTGGCCGTCGACTTGAGGAGGTCCTGCGGCATCTGCGTCGTCTTCGTCGTCTCCATCCTCGACAGCTTCGATCTTGCGCTTGCGGCTTGCGGCGGTCTTCTTCTTTCCCTGACCTGCCTTCAGTCCTTGAGCAGGTTGCGGAGGTGGTGCGGTAGCTGAAAGGGCAGGTGTTGCAGTAGCTGGTTGTGCGGCGCCTATGTCGCCGTCAATCTTCTTCTTGAGTCGCCTCCAGCGAACCTCCACTGCTGCCCTAGTCGATCCTGTCGCGATGGCCACAGCATTCCAGTCGATCTATCAGATGTTAGTTGAGGTGCATTAAGAGAGCTATCGTCGTTGTATGTACCTTTCCAGCGGCATTTGCGAGACAATGGTACAGAAAGACGACGTTGTCGCCAGCTTGGTATGCAGGAGCCATGACGGCGAGTTGTTGGTTGCTTAGACTTGCAGAGGAGGGTGTGTTGAGTCGGGGAGGGATAGGATAGGGAGTTGGGAGAGTGAAACCGAGGGAAACGAGTTGAGCAGACAATAAAGAGCCAACGCCTGGTCATGGAGAGAGGTAGAGGTAGCAAAGTCTAAATATGTCTGCGATCAGTCTCAGGAATGTCTGTCGATGAGAATGAGGCGAAAGTGAGCCAGAGGTGATTTCAGGTACGGATGAGATTGCGTCTCTCCCTCACTCAATTCCACTTCAGTTGGTGTAAAGTCGCAGAAGCCGCGGGTTTCTGCTGGATTGGAAGGTCAATCAATAGTCTGGCCGGTGATTAATGGAACTCATTCGACTCATTCGCCTCAATAGGATTTCAGACAATTCATGTATTCATCTCAACGTCATTCGTTTCTCCCTGACTGGGTTTCTTGACTGCGATCTGATTTCGTGTCATAGACTCGACCAAGGCTTCCTTGATGACAGTCTGGGCTCCCCTGGCAGCCGCAATAGCAGCTTCCACCAATTCATCGAACCCAGTTGATGTATTAGCATTTTGTGTTGATACAGATCCATTAGACCATAATTCCACAATCTCATCCCTCGACGGTAAATAGCCGACCACACAGCTGGACTGTATATCATCGTGCTCGACAGCGGCAGGATCTAGCACGCGTAGGGGCTTTGAGTCGGGTCCAGGTACGACAGCTCCGACGCCCGCAGCCAACAGATCTAAACAGTCGATCTTCGCATCGGCCAATGCCGCCATAGCCACATTGATTGCCGCTGCCAGCAGGTTGAAAAGTCCTAGGCCCGCAAATCGATCTCCCTCCCCTTGGTCATCTTCTCCTTCGAGGACTATTACTGCGACGTCAACAGCACTCTTTGGCCATCGGTCTGGCAGGAGGACCCCTTTCAGTGCATTTTCCAGGTGCAACCCCAAATCCTTTTCGGTCTGGTTGGGTACGTAACCTTGCCGGACACGGGTCGCAAATGGAGCGAATTTGACAGATGCGCTCAGTTGTGCATTAGGCGAGAATGATGCGGTTCTCGGCAACGGCTTCGGCCCATGTACAGAGCACGACAATTTTATGGCGGAGGATGTAGGATCAAGAGAGGGTTTGGGCTCCGAAGGGCTTTCGAGTTCGAGGTATGCAGATCCACTGGCTGAAGGGACTATCCCGGTCTGTAGAACTACGCTCGGTGTCAGCTTAGACCAGTAGGGAAGGAAGAGGAACACCGTACATATCTTGCGCAATTCGTTTGGTTTCCTCACTCGTTGTCGCAACGCTGTCGCAGTCGCAGGCTGCGAGTAGGGCGCAAACACTGGAGAGCTGGTCGTGCCTGCAGGCCCATTGATTCTTCGTCTGTCGCTCATGACATCGCAATTCTGGATTGAAGGAGTGAACGTCCCAGGAGGACTAGGAAATGGACTGAATCGAAAAATACTTGAGAGCAGCAGTCACGATGGTTTGCAGTCGCCAAGGTGTGGTTTAGTTCCTCGCGCCTCATCCCGGATCGGGAAACAGGATGCTGCCGCCCTTGCGCATCCTGGCTCGCGCGAGCCGCCTCATCGGTATTGGACTACGTGCGGAGACTGCACCTGGGACTCGGCCTCCCAAGCTGTCCAATCATGACATTGAAGTGTGCGAAAGCGGCGTGGCAGCATCGACCATGGCGGCAACTCCGACATCGTACAGCTTAAGCTCGCTCAACCTCAACTGGAAACATGACAATGACAATTTGAAAGAAGTTATAGTCGCATTCCATGGTGTCTCACCACATTGCGCCAGTATGCGTAACGTTGGGCCTCGTGCATGGAGCCGAACGGCCATGAAGCAAGGCTGGGACTTTTCTCAGGCTGACTCTTCAATCTTGCGTGTGGGCGGCTTCGTTGGCGTATTCATCTTCTCATTTGCCCAGCTGTTGCTGGTGAGCCTCATCTAGACCATCCAATTTTTGCAAGGTCCCATCATAGGCCCACATTTGAGCCAGAGGAGGATCTTGACAGCGGCCATCAGGGCGACGACGCGAGCCGCTTCGATCTTGGTTGGTAACCTCGGTATCAGCTCGTTGACGGAGCCGCGCTCGCTAAGCGCCTTTCCAAAAGGTGCCTTTCTGGGATTGTTACAACGCCTCAGCATTCATTCCAGAGCTTTCTTTTGGCCTGAATCTCTGGATCAGCATGACTCGCACGGTAGATCATCCTGTGGGAACATACCGTGCCTATCGCTCTCATCGCCTGGCGTACCCTCCAGGGCCCCATGCATCGCTTCATGATTTCGAGACCACGATCGGGGCCGAGGTAACTCTGGAGTCTTTTAAGACCGCTTGGAACACAGCCTGGTCGGTCCAATGCCCTAGGTTAGCCCGCCTGCGCCTTTCTACTGTATATGTGCCGGCTCCGTCGTGCATAGTCACATTACCACCCAGGATTCATGTCGACACCTACCGATATGGAAGAGTCTAAGAATACCTCGAAAACACTCTCTTTGGATCTCCCTGGAGGCTCAGATATTTGTCATGTCTCGATCATCAACACGACCTGTGATATCACGGTACCACCCCACTACCTTGTTGAGCCCAAAATCCCCGGTTACGAGTGGATCAATCTTCCTACGTTCTCTTACTATGTCAAGCACGAGAGGCTTGGAACGGAGCTTTTATTTGACTTGGGCGCTCGAACTGATTGGCAAAATCATGTGCCGCATATATCTGGCCTGATACAAGGTCATGTGCAGGGGGTGAAAATCGAGCAGAACGTGCAAGATATTCTTGCCAATGGCAACGTCGATATCTCTAACATCGACACATTTGTGCTTAGCCACTGGCATTTTGATCATTGTGGAGCGCCCTCAAAATTGCCAAAGACCGTCAAGATGGTTGTCGGTCCTGGTTTTCGGGAGGCTTTTATGCCCGGCTATCCTACTAGACAAGACTCACCGTTTCACGAGGCCGATTTCGAGGACCGAGAGGTTGTGGAGCTCAGCTTCTCGAGCTCTCTGCAAATTGGTCAGTTTAAGGCCCACGATTTCTTTGGCGATGGGAGCTTTTACATCCTCGATGTACCAGGACATGCGGTCGGACACATGGCTGGCCTAGTTCGGACCACCCAGGACACGTTCGTGCTGTTAGGAGCCGATACCTGCCATTTTGCCGGCTCTATCAGGCCATCCAAATATATCCCAATTCCTGACATTATTCCGGAAGGATCGGCGCTCGACAGGCGTCTGCCACGTCCTTGCTTGTGTGGAGGATTTCTGTCATCTCACCCTCATGGCGAGGACGGTCGGTCGGTATGTAGATGCACTCTCCCCCCGTATTCCCAACTCCACCGCGTTACTGTGAGTTGACAGAGCGCCTGTTGTGTATCAGGAACCATTCACACACATCTCGACGGATGCAGCTACTTTCTACAAGGACCCGACCGTCGCAGAGAAGTCTGTGCTTGGCTTGATGGAATTTGATGCGGATCCTCGTGTTCTAGTGACCATCGCACATGATCCAGCAGCGTTGGATGTCTACGACTTTTTCCCTCGTGGCAGCCTGAATGACTGGCAGCAGAAAGGATGGAAGGAGGCTGCTCGGTGGGGTTTCCTGAGCGAGCTACCTTACAACGGCAAGACCGTCAGACCCGTCCTGGTAGATGGACTCTACAAACAGGGTCGGAAAATTCGAGGCTTGGAGCTGCATGAAGCATAGCCCCTGTGAGCTCGGAAAAGTCTGGAAGCAAGTGGTTTTCATTCATTAAACGCCAATAGCCCGCGTCCCAATTTTCTCCTGGTATAACAGACACTCTAATGAAGTTTGATCTCTACAGCAACAGCACCTCTTGCTGTCCATTTATTTGGTTGGCCTGGTTGCCGAAACCGAGGTTATGCAGCCTTGACACATTTGGCCAAGGCTGGCGTCGTCGGCCTCGGGCCTTCTCAGACATTTTGATCCCGGCACCTGGCCCGCGTCCCCATCCCCATGAGCCAACTGTATGGTCTACGGCCCGGGTCCATGCGTCAGTGAGACTCAGCAGGTCCTTTTCAATGCAACACCACGCCTACCTTTAGTTTGACGCATATCCAAGTGCTTGTCGAACCTCCTACGAAATGGGTAGCGCCGAATCACTGAACCCCAAAGACTTCACCAAACTCTACCTCAATGGAGAATACGTCAGTGCACAAAGCACGGAAACGTACGCTCTATTCAACCCCAAGGATAATACCAAGGTCGTGGACGGCGTCCCCGTGGCAAGAGCTGCCGATGTTGATTTGGCCGTGTCCTACGCCGAGGCGGCATTTCGAGGGCCATGGAGCAAATTCTCTGCCATGCAGAGGACCGAGTGTCTTCTCAAGCTGGCAGCACTCGTTGAAGACAAACTAACGCCCATCCTCACACTCGACTCCCTCACTTCTGGGAATCCAGTGTCTCTAATTCCTACAAGAGAGAAAAACTACATCAAGAACTGTATCCTCTACTACGCCGGTTGGACGGATAAGCTCAAGGGGGATTATTTTCCTGCCGACGATGGTGCGTCCCAACGAACGTTTTCCTGCCTACCATATCGATCTTGCTGATTCATGATCACTATCCTAGGATTTGTTAAGCTCGTTCGTCATGAACCTTTGGGCGTGTGTGCAGCTATCAATCCGTTCAACGCTCCCGTGGCGACCATGATGCTCAAGCTGGCACCATGTTTAGCTACCGGAAATGTCATGATCGTTAAGCCGTCGGAAAAGACACCTCTAGGATCCCTTGCCATTGCCCCGCTCTTCGAACAAGCTGGGTTTCCTGAGGGCGTCGTCCAGGTCCTCCCTGGAGACGGACAGACCGGTGCTTTACTAGCAAGCCATAACCGCATCAACAAGATCAGTTTTACAGGCAGTGTGCCCACCGGCAAGAGAATTCAGATGGCGGCAGCACAGAGTAACCTCAAGCGCGTCACCCTTGAGCTTGGAGGTAAGAGCCCTGCGCTTGTTTTCGACGACTGCAACATCGAGAATGCCGTTACCTGGACCACGAATGCTATCCTGGCTCGGTCGGGGCAAGTCTGCGTCGCCGCAACAAGAATCTACGTCCAAAAATCTATTGCGGATCGCTTTGTCGAAAAGTACATCGAGAGGATGAAAGCGGCAGCATCTGATCTAGGCGATCCCCAAGATCTCTCGGTCAAGCTAGGACCACTGGTAGACGCAGGACAATTCGACCGTGTCCTGAATATGGTGGAGCGTGCAAAGTCACAAGCTGACCTGGTCGTGGGCGGGGTCCGGCACGGAGAGACCGGCTGCTTCATGGAACCTACCGTGTTTCTCAACCCTCAACCCGATGCGGAGATCTATAAGAATGAGGTCTTCGGTCCCGTGGCCGTGATCAGGACGTTTGAGACGGAGGAGGAAGTAGTTGGCTGGGCTAACGAGTCTGACTATGGCCTGATGTCTGGGGTCTTTACCCGGGATATCACTAGAGCCATGCGGGTTTCAGCACAAGTGGATTCAGGGGTGGTAGGCATCAACTGTGTGAGTTACATGAATATGCAGGTCCCGTTCGGAGGACGAAAACAGTCGGGTATCGGCAGAGAAATGGGTGAATATGCGCTCAGGGCATATACCGAGCCCAAGACGGTCTTGATCAATATGAATGCTTGATATTTGTTGTCGGCAATGAAGGCCATGGTATCGTCACAGCCCCAAACCCTCAGTCACCAGCCACCGAGCCAGCAGTCTCAAAGATTGTTCACGTAACATGACATAGAGCAATGGTTTGACACCGTCTTCGCCAAGACTTGGGTCTGTAAACCGATCTCACCAAAATGTACCATGTCGAACTTTGCGGGAAGCAGTAGAGTGTCGAAGCCGCAGCGCAAACATGTTGATATTTACTAGAATTTTTGCCAATCTGCGCGGTCGAGGGACATGTGTTGGAGCCGTTTAGGGCCTAGTTACCCTTACTGGGTATCGAGGCCCGTAATTAATTATTTAGTTCCGCGACCCCAGAATAGGCTCGTTCTGCGCTACTAACTTCCTCCATTGGGTCACAGACCACCAGCCCCGTGTCACGTGACCGTCCTTCGAAATGAGGATTTTGTTGTCAACGATTCACGGAATCGTCTCAATCGGCATTTCCTGTTGTTCCCCGGCCTCTTTCAACATGCAACACTGCGCCCGGCCTGGATATGAGTGTGCCGGCTATCAGGACTTGGTTCGGGCCAGTCGAAGCAAGTTACCGAGGTCACCTCGTAAGGAGGTTGACATGCCCTCCTCCGATCGCCAACCACAGATATTGCAGTCAAATTCCGACTGTAGCAGTGCCATAGCCAGCGTCTGTGGGACAAGATATCCAGGTGACCCGCTATTCAGCTAAGTTGTTTTCCTTGCGTGTATCGCCTTGCCCGACGCGTGCTTTCTTGCTGCCCGCCCATCGTTTGCTTGGGGGGGGGTGTCATCCGCTCTTCTTGCGACATCTCATCTGCTGGGAACCTATTTGTTTGTGATGGTCGAGTCTTGCGTCAAGCCTTACCTGTTGACGACAGTCAATTCGCCGCTCCCTATTTTCGCGCCGCGTTCTCGGTTCATTGTCTCTTTCGCCAGAGTTGATGTCTCGCGTCACTGATCAAGTCTCCGCAACGACAGAGGCTCGGCAGGCACCATGGGTTTCAGCAGTTCTCCCGTTTGTTGTTGGCGGCTCCTCCGGGATGGTTGCCACGGTCTGCATTCAGCCGATTGATTTACTCAAAGTGCGCCTGCAACTAGCAGGAGAGGGCGCCAGAAAAGGACCGAGACCCACAGCGTTGTCTATAGCAAGGACGATTATCAGCCAAGGCAAGGTCACTGACCTCTATCAAGGCCTCTCAGCGGGTTTACTGCGTCAAATCGTGTACGGCACCGCTCGACTTGGTCTCTTTTTCACCTTCGAGGACATGATGCAGCAACGACTCCAGCGACAGGGATTGCAGATGGGTTTCGAACACCGAGCATTGGCCGGACTGGCTGCTGGTGGGTTGGCCGCTCTTGTCGCGAACCCTACAGAGGTTGCGCTCGTGCGAATGCAGTCCGACGGCTTACAGCCAAAAGAGCTCAGGGCGAACTACCGGTCAGCTTTCGACACCTTGGCTCGCATCTCTCGCAACGAAGGGATGCTGGCTCTATGGTCGGGCGCCTTCCCAACCATGATAAGGGCCATGGCGACCAACTTCGGCCAACTGGCATTTTTCTCGGAATCCAAATACCAATTGTCAGCCCACACAACCCTTAGCCCACAGGCACAAACAATTTGTGCTTCAGCAATTGCCGGAATATCAGCCGCCTTTTTCAGTCTGCCATTCGACTTCCTGAAGACCCGACTGCAAAGGGCAAATGCTGCGACTGGGACGCCCGTCTACAGAGGTATGTGGCATTGTGCCTTGAGTGTCGCGAGGAACGAAGGGTTCCTTCGATTTTACCGTGGGTTCGGTGCATACCTTTTCCGGATCGCGCCCCATTCGTAAGTGCACCCCCCGTCCGGGTCGGCAGAATAAAGTCCAAGAAAGGGTCACTAAACCAAGTCCAACAGCATCATAGCACTTGTCGTTGCCGACAACATCAACGCCTTCCTTAAGCAGGCTCAATAAAAATCAGGGCCATGTAACACACATGGTAGCTGTCTACAAGTCGATTCAATCTGCCCGCGTGAATGTACGTAACACCTGAGAGTGAGCGCCTCACTTCAAACACCAGTAGAAACGTGTACAACGGCGGAGGCTGGTCCAATCGCTCTTAAGGTGGTGTGCACCAACTGTACCTCGTAATATGCGGGAGGTGCAAATTGGCTACGGTAAGCTTGAATATCGTCCCCGAGAATTTCAAGCCAAATCGAACGCAATACATATTTGACTTCGGTTACGCTGGTGAGAAAGTGACACCCTCGGTAATGGGGATGAATGGGACTGCTCGCTTTGATTCTGTATGCCTCGGAATCCACTTTATCCGCAGGTATCGCTACCTAAACGAGGGAAGTCGGTAAGTTTTGACGATAGCGTCTCTCTACCCTTGAACGGGCTAAACACGAGGTATTTCGTCTTATGCTGCGGAGGTCCATGTAAATCGGGGGTTACGGCATCGACAACCTCTAGAGAGCGACCTCGAAGTCCAGATTCGATAATCGATACCACCGACCATCGTCCATTCATCTCTGCGATGGCGGCGCCTCCGGTCACTTATCTGCCTTCAAAAGATTATGTGTTGCCAACGCTCGACCTTTTGACATTACTCTTTGGTGGGTTACCCTTGGTTCGCGTCCGAACTTGGCCATCTGACACTGAGCGCATGCAGAATCACCGTGGTGCTTGGGCGACGATGCCACCGTGCTACATGTCGAGGCCGCCCATCCCAGCAACTCGGTCACCAAGGCGCAGACACGGACGTGGACGAAGCGAATCGCACACATCCTGAGATCTCAGTATGGCATCGGTGCTCGGGGACGAGGCAAAGACGTGGTCCTCTGTGTCTCGACCGGTCAGGTCCTCCTGCCAGCGCTATTCTACGGGACGATCGCCGCCGGGGGTATCTACAGCTCAGCAAGCCCCAGTTATAGTTCTGTCGAGCTCGCACGGCAGCTCAAGCATGGCAACGCCCAACTGGTCGTCACGAGTAGTGACTGTCTCGAAGTCACCGTCAAGGCTTGTTTAGAGGTTGGGATAGGACGGGACAGAATCCTGGTCTTGGAAAGCAAGGCGGGCGCAAGGACACTCCACGATGCCACGGGCCGGGGTCCAAACTTGCTCGGCGGAAACGAGAATCTGGACCAGATGCTGGAGTGGGAACGTATTACCGACGAGAAAGAACTGGAGGAAAGCATCATCTGCTTGCTCTACAGCAGCGGGACCACCGGCGTGCCAAAAGGTGTGTATGGGCGGGGGACCATCTTCTTTTCGCGCCCGGCTGTTTTCACAGGTTCATACCTCTTGGATGATCGTTGACGGCGTGTATCTTAGGCGTCAAGGTGTCGCACACCAACCTCGCTTCCGAGGGTCTTCTCCTGGGCCTCCCGATCCGGGAGTACGCGAAGAGGCGGAAGCTGAAAGACCCCTCGTTCACTTTCGCCTACCGCACGCTTGCACATCTACCGACGGCACATGTGGCCGGGTGTTTGGGGTATTTTGTCAACCCCGTGGTATCCGGTGGCACGGTGTACTGGATGCAGAGATTCGACTTTGCCGGCTTTTTAGAGTACAACCGACAGTTCCGCACCACGGCTTTGTTCTCGGTGCCCCCGATTTATCTGATGATCGCCAAAAGTCCCGAAGTCACCGACCATTTCAAGACGCTGTTGCACGCCGTATCTGGGGCTGCGCCAATGGGGGCCGAACTCTCGCGACAGGCGCAGCAAAAGCTCGGATGCCATCTCTCGCAAACCTGGGGTCTCTCGGAGTCGATGGGTTCCGTCACATCCATGCCGTGGGACGAAGTCGATGATACCGGGAGTATTTCTCCGTTGATGTCCAACGTCAGGATACGCATAGTCGACGACGACGAACAGGACGTGGAGGAAGGGCAACCGGGCGAAATCATCTTTCGAGGTCCCATGGTCACTCGGGGTTACTGGCACAGTGATCAAGAAACCACCGCTGCTTTCACGCGCGATCTCCGGTGGTTCAAGACCGGCGATATTGGAGTGAGGAGCGACCAGAAGTTCTACGTCGTGGACCGCAAGAAGGTGAGCCATCTTTTTGTCCTACTCCTTCCCCTTCCTTGAAAGGGTATAATAGCCTGAGTGCTTCGTGTTTGACTGACTCGGGGCCATCTTTTGCGTGGGCAATGATGTAGGAACTCATAAAGTACAAGGGTCTCCAAGTGGCCCCCGCCGAGCTCGAAGCCTTGCTCCTTTCTCACCCACTGATTGCCGATGCCGCCGTCGTCGGCGTACCAGCATTGGATGGGAGCGGCAACGAGTTGCCTCGAGCCTTTGTGGTTGCAGATGAGACGAGAATCTCGGCCGCCCAGATCGCCGATTTGGTCAAGGCCAAGTTGGCCAAGCACAAGCAGCTCAGAGGGGGTGTCGTCTTCGTGTCGAGCATCCCCAAGAGTGCCAGCGGCAAGATCCTGAGGCGGGAGCTGAGAGCGATGGCAAAGAGTGACGGCGTGGGAAGGACGAAGCTCTAGACTCGAGAAGCAGGCTGAGAGGTGCCGTGTCAACGACCGACTCGAAGGCAAAGAGGGGGCAAAGGGTCGCCTTGGATCTAAATTCCTGCCCCCAGGCAGACGGGAGCGCAGAAGGCTTCGTTGACAGCCGACAGATTGGCTGGATACGATACACCCGTCTACTGGGATGCCAGCGCCTGCAGCGCGCACATAAATGCCTATGAAATTTCAAGACCGGTGCCGAAGCCTCCGTCAAACCCGTGCAGGTTACTATTTCCCTCGAAATTGAACAAGGCATCCACTAAATACCAATTGTCATCCTTGTCCGAGTTGTTTTCGCCATCTCCATGTGAAGAGAACTGGTTACTTTCTTGCATGTCATCACTCATCGACGCCCCGCCACCCATGGGGTCGTGCAGACTCATGGTCATTGCGTCGTTTAAAGGTCCTTCCATTTGGTCGGTTTGCCCATAGACTGGTGGATAGTCCTTGTCGACCGTGTCCAACAGCGTAGTTGACTGATTCGGAGCCGCCGGCATGTCATTCAAAGAGCCGTCAGGGGCCAAGAATGTCCGATTCTCCGACGATGCGTGAACGACGCCGCCGCCGGCAGAATGCTCGCGAGAGGACAGCGGGCGATCTGCTTTTCCCGACGGGATCTGCACGTGAGCCTTTTGGATGGCGGCCTCGAGAAACGAGATTGCCGAGTCTGCGGAGGCGTAGATTTCGCGCAATTTGTGCAGAACCTGCATGCATCGGTAAAAGCGGGCGATGCTGGCGTTTCGCTTGTCGTGGTCCGGAGAGTTGATGTCCAGCAACAGCGTGATCACGGTGGGAGACAGGACCATGACACCACTGGTAGACAGGAAGCGGATCTGATCCTGGGCTTGCAAATCCGCGATGATATCAGTGATCTCGTTTGCCGCCTGCCTGAGGATCTGCCGGGCCGAGATTCCGGATTTGGAAGGCCTCGCCCGTTGCTGCTTCTTGGGACGGAAGACTTGGGGTCTGTACAGTGCGGACAGCGTCGTCAGATACACCATTCGCAGGAGCGCCCGGTGGACGTTGGTGACCGGGTCAACCGGCACTCCGCCGTATTGGTAAGCCCCGACGACGGTGTACCGAGCTTCAGGGTGCAACTCTTGCTCCCACTTCCTCAGCTGCTCCTCACACCGGGTGGCCTCGGACATTTGTAGGGTCGACCGCTGTGGGCTCAACATCATGCTTCCGCCCGCGGTGCCGCCTCCACTTTCAGTCACGAGAGAGTACTGCGTGACCAGAATGTGGCCGATACAGACGGTCAACTTTGCCAGATCGATGCACGTGTAGACGAGATCAGGCCGGGAGACACAATCCAGCACGCTCGGCGCGCCCCCGAGCAAGGTAAACAGCTCGTTTGGCAATGGCTCCGTGTCGAAGTCATCTCTTTCCAACATCGGTGTATCATGGTCTTCGAGTTTGATCCACGCGGGGCGGCGCATGCCCAATGCGATCAGTCGGTCCCGAATGTGGCAAGCCCACCACAGCCGCTTGAAGAGTCTTTGTGTCTCGCGATCCCGATTCGCGTGCGCGTGGCGGCGGTTGAGGCCCATGGTATAGGCAACGGATACGCTGATGCCCATCCAATACCACGTGTGCTTTCGATCCTCGGGCGACTCATACCAGTAGGTCAGAAGGAGCACGGCTTGCAGAACCGCAGCATCGTCCGACTCGTAGTCAAAGTCGTAGAGCATGCGCGCCGAGGTGTAAAAGGCCTTGCGTGCCTCCCGTCGATCATTGTATCCGTGGTTCTGAAGGAATCGGAGATCGACGAACGTGCTGCCAGCGAACATGACCGCCTGAAGGGTCAATAAACTGATCTGGGCGAAACCGTCGTTTCGCGCGATGGGTATAAGAAACTGCCTCAGGTCCAGTATGGGCATGAATGGGTGCACGTATTGGACGTAACTGCGCAGGAGTTCGTTCCGCAGACTGGCGTCCGGGACCGTCAGAGCACCCTTGTGCGCGAGGAATTGAGCTCCAGCGGCGTCGATGCAAGATGGCAGAGGACGGACGAAGTTGGGGAGCTGGTAGGCTTGTTCGAGTCCGGACGGGACAAAGCAGTCCTCGTTTTGCGAGGGATTGATGAGTGGCGCGGAAAGTGCTGGTTGGGAGGCCTCGCTCACCTGACTAAAGTCGTATGGTCGGTGGTGTTCAGTATCTTGGGGCTGATCTGCAACGCCATCAGCTACGAGGCACCCGCGGCCGCTGGGGACGAAGCCGGGACGCTCCTCTAGGGACTTACGCGGCACAATGGCATCGGTGTCTTCCACGCCGGAAATGACACAGTCGGTCCCGGAGTTACTCAACAGGTTCGACGGTTCTGCTTGACTGGATCTGTTGAACCTCTTCTCAAAGGTCAGACCAACCGGAAGGTCATCGGCGTGGTCAGAAAACGACTGCGGCGAACGGTAGTGACTGGGTTCTTCCCTCGTCGCCCTTGGCACTTTGCCCCTTCGGGAGCCGGTGACGAGGCATTCCACACGGTCGAGGCGACAATTTGTGCACGGCACTCCATGCTCAACGACGTCGCAGCGGACTTTGCGTGAACGGCATGAGTGGCACGCTTTCGACGCTCTTCGTCTTGCCGCTGCCCCCCCTCTGTGATCCAGGCGAGGAGCGGATGGTCCATGTCCGGGCGAATGTGATTGCCGTGGCACTGAAGGAGAATGACTGGCCATCACCAAGCTTTTGGCACCTGTCGCGTCGCCAGGCCACGAATATAGAAGATACAAGGGGGTTCGATGGAGCAAAGGTCTGGACAAGAAAATTTTGGGAGAGTGAATCCTACCTGACGCGACCCTGACTCGTGAAGCTCGAGCCTTGCTGGAGCCAAGCGGACGGCGACCAAGTCTCTGTCGATTCCTGGCCCAAGCCCCAAGCCCCCAGGCCCTGCAGGCGGGGCGCTCCAGGGCAAAAGGCGAGGAAGAGTTGGGGAAAGAGGGGGTGTACTCTTGCAGAGCTAACTAGGTCAAGTAAGTTCGGACCCATTTTATCCAGGCATGGGTACCGAGTACTTGTTCTGTGACATGCCGCCCATCCCCTGTTCTGTCACTAATGGACACGAGGATGTGGGTGGGGCGGATCTAAGCACCCCGTCTCCTTACCAAGTACTCGGTATGCTGGTAAGTTGCTCGACGAATTCACAAAGGCCATCCCCACGACAATGATAAATCTCTATCGGTGGTGTTTCTCATACTATCCACCGTGGTGGGATATTGGCTGCATGTCTTTTTATATTGAGTGATCGTTGATGTCAGCGAACAGATGTTGCCTGCACGGTAACGGCTTCAGATAAATCTAGCGGGATGTCTAGGTCGTGGCTCCAAGCCTCATATGCCATCCTCTGCGAAATCTGGAGAACTGCATCAGGGCCATACTGGTGACAGAGCAGACCAGCACCGCGGACCGCGGTCTTTCCCGCCGAACCGAGGCTCAACGACGTGCTCGGACACTGACCAGGTGGCGCACGCCAAGCCAGTCTTCAGAGATATGCAGGTGCATTGGACGTTATGAACAGTGTTTCTGCACTGCACAAGACGGCGCTTTCCGAGTCGAGAATTTCCACCGTGACGACAATCTTCCGTCCCATCTTGCGACAGAGCGTGGACTTTGCAACGATGACTTGCGGGGTTCGAACGGGTCTTTTGTACGATATATTGATGTAAGCCGTGTAGACGCGTGGTGGCTCCGCGTCTCCAGACCCTTCATTCAAGCCTAGGAGCACGCCCGCGCACTCATCCAACAAGACGGCCAAGAATCCCCCGTGGATCGTGTCACTCCAGCCGTTCAAGTCCGAGCCCAGCGAGATCAGTGTGACGGCCTCGGTCACGGGATCATTGGGCTTGGCCGGAATGGCGGAGAGGGACACGGTGGCTCTGATCGAATCCGACGAGCGTAGAGTGCGCGTAAACAGTGTATTGGCCCGAGCATGTTCGTTGGGTTTGCGTGTGATGCCAGGAATTTTCGAGTAGCGGGTAGGGTCGAGGTAGGCTTCGCACCAACCTATCTGCCGAAAGAACTCGACGTCTTCAAGGTTTCCGTCCATGGTCGCGTCCGAGTTGAACATGTAAAAGTCGATAGGAAGGATATTTAATATGCTGGCAAGAATGTATTATGCGAGGCACAGGGACGGACCGTTGTTTTGTCTGGCCGGCGTAAACGTGCATGTCAAGAATACCAATCCCGAGGTAGCAAGGGGACAGGAATTCGGGAATGCTACCCTTTTCCGGTCCTTCGCGGGCGACACGGCCACGGAGGGGTGGGTTATTGTTGGCTGCATGGCAAATTTCTTCAGTACCTCCTGTACAGGCTTGAGACCAAATTTCGAGGATGCCCCTTCAAGTGCCTGTTGGCGTCTTTCAAACCTGAGAATGGCCCGATCTGGTAAAATCACGGGGCCCCCGCCTTTGCGGCGGTCGGCGGTGATATCTAGTTCGGTCATGCCAGGGAGTTTTTCCGATTTCAACCGCGCAACACCAAATTACATGACCAGTTCAAGGTATGTCGCCAGTGGTAAATCTCAACGAGAGCTTGTAGTATCTGCGAAACAGTGCGACGCAGAGAGGACAAACTCGTCAATGGGATAGGGATGGAGTCGAGACGCCCGCGGCAGGGACCAAATACTTTCTTTGATCCGGTTCCAGGCTTCACGCTCTCCCCATTCACGCAGTCCAGCAATTAAGCAGATCCCGAGCTCGCCTCCGAGAAGCATACAGCTCAGCGGCCGCAGAACAGCGCAACCACACTATGGAGGAAATCATCAAAATGCAGATCCCTTGCCTTGACGCCATGATCGAGGAGGCGAATCGCACGGCTCAGATCTTCTACGGCTCGATCCGCACGACGACCGTCGACATGGCGCAGCTAGGCCACAGCACCCCCCCAAGGGCACCGACTTCTTCTCCATGCAACTCAGTCCGGGCTACTTTGTGGCCCCCCTTGCCCGTCGACGACGCGACGCGCAGCAGGTCGAAGAACCAGGTGAGCCAATGGACGCCGGACGCGCCGGACGTGGACACTTTCCGGCCCGAACGCTGGCTCGTGTTAGACAAGAACGGTGAGGAATACTTACGACGCCCAGGCCGAACCGCCAGATGTGGGGCGGCCTGGGTCCGCGCGGCTGTTACTCGAGGCGATTGGCATATCTGCAGCTGCGCAACATGTTGGTCATGATGATCGGGAACTTTGAGTTGAAGAAAACACCCGATCGTGTCAGCGGCTGGCTTGCCGCGAACAATTTGGCCAGATGGCCTCGACAACAGCGTTGCCATCCCAGTCCCAGTCTTAGGCAGTGGGACTATAGTCTTTGGTCCCTACCATAGTCCTTACTAATTAACTACTATACCTATTATGGTAAGCACTAGTCTACTTATACATTAGCGTTTAAGCGGGTGAATTACTGGGCTAGTAGGTAATAGATTAGTAATTTCTCGCCCCTTAGGAGGTACGGAATAACGTAATTCCGACCAATCAGCCAACATATTTCCAAAGTGTGGGTCGGGACTTGGTTGGGACTACCGACATCTGAGGCTATAGTCTCCAGGGACTATAGTCCTAAGAGACTAGACCAGTTGGGACTGGTTAGTTGGCAACGCTGACCCCACTTCTTCTTTCAACCAAATTATTTTTAATCCCCCCAGACACATCCCCCTCCGCAGGCTCATACCGAGCTCTCGGACAGTAACTAGCTACGGCAAATCTACAACTTCGCGTTGAACTTGGCCTTACCCAACTCGTTGCGGTCCACGCCCATGGATTGGAAGAGGAACTCGGTCTTTTCCTGCTGCTGGGCCAGGCGTCTCCTGACCTCATCCTTGCGCTGTTTGTTCTCCCGACGGCCGAGTTGGTGTAGATGAGCTAGGCGCACAGACCAAAATTAGCCTCCTTCTCAGGAACGTCAAGAAGGATGTTCAAGTTCATTTTGAGATTGAGAGAGAGAGAGAGAGAGAGAGAGAGCAAAATACGAACCTTCGTCTGGCCCATCAGCAATCCGCAAGGTCCTCAGGTGCGCCCACATGCTCGCTAGTGGGGTGTCCTGGCCCACACCCACCGCACCGTGTACTTGAATTGCTCGGTCCACCACCTCCAGCGCGACCTGAGGCACCTTGATTTTTGCTTCTGCAATCTCCTTGAGCGCAAACTTGGCGTCCATCTGGTCAATCTTGATCGCGGCGTTGAGGACGACGAGCCGTGAAGCATCGATCTCGATGCGCGACTTGGCGACCCATTCTAACAGGACGCCATGCTCCGAGAGTTGTTTGCCAAATGGCTTCTTGCGCTCGTCATTGAGACGGTTGATCAGCCACTCTAAAGCATACTCAGCGGCGCCTATGGCACGCATGGCGTGGTGAATTCGACCGGGACCGAGGCGACCTTGCATGATTTCGAAGCCGCGGCCTTCGCCCAAGATCAGTGCGTTGAGCGGCACCTTGACATTGGTGAAGGTAATCTGGCCGTGGCCGTGAGGGGCGTCGTCATATCCATATACGCTGAGCATCCGGTGTATCTTCATCCCAGGCGTGTCTGACGGAACTAGTATGATAGATTGTCGCCGATACGGATCCGGGTGGTCCGGATTCGACTTCCCCATGACGAGATAAACCTTACAGCGCTCATCGCCGGTGCCGGAAGCCCACGTCTTCGATCCATTCAGTAGGTAGTGGTCGCCACGGCGTTCTATACGTAGTTGAATATTACTGCCGTCGGATGAAGCAATATCAGGCTCGGTCATTAGGAAGGCAGACCGAATTTGGCCCTCCATCAGAGGCTTCAGCCATTGATTCTTTTGAGCGGGCGAGCCGTAGCGCGCGAGGACTTCCATGTTGCCAGTATCGGGTGGGGAGCAGTTACATGCCTGAGGGGGCCCTTTGTAAGTTTTCACATTCTCTTGCCATTCAGGGGCACGGGTTTCAATCCAGAAAGAACGAAACAAAACAAAAAGAAACGTACCTCACTTGCTATGCTACTTTTGCCTAGATACTCGGCCATCAAGGCGTATTCGAGATTCGTGAATTGCGGGCCGTCCTTGTAATGATTTTTGGGAAGAAACATGTTCCACATGCCCAGAGCACGAGCTTTTTTCTTCAATTCATCTATGATGGACGGGTGACCATGCCAGCGGCCGTCGCCGGTCCCAATCTGGGCGAGAAAGACCGGATCCGCCGGTATGCATTCTTCGTGCACGAATTTTTCGACCTGTCAAAGACGGGGTTAGGCAGCGTGTCCCAGCCGGTTTCCATCTCTAGATTGAGCAGCAGGATGGATAGATGGGGGCAAGAAAAAAAGGACAAAAGATGTGGGATGTGCAATGGTCGTTTCGATGACTGCTTTGAAAGGTAACAAATATAGTCGCTAATAGTTTAACAGGACCGGGGAATCCAAGGGAAAGGGGGGGTCTAATACCACATCCAAAAGCTTTTTTGCCCGTTCCGACACGAATGGAAGGGCAATGGGTGGGATGTTCTGAGATGCAGAGATAGACATCGAGGAATCTCTCCGGCACTTCTCTTGGTTGACAAATTTGCAGGTTATGAGGCAGGCAACAAGGAACAAGCTATAATATTTCTGCGATCAAGAACAGATCTTGTCATGAACAACTTTCTACTGACGATGTGCTCAAGGGAAAAGAAGTGAAGGTCAGGTTATTAGACGCCGAATAGTTGTGGGTTCAGCTATTTTCCAAATCTATGGAGAATGGAAGCTGCATGAGCCTCGGTCCAATGTCCTTCAGAACTCTACCCCGGAAGGCTGAACGATCCTTGATCATTGAGACACATAGGAGAGCTGTTCCTGATCCGTAAATCATAGACCTTGCCGGTTTGACGGGGCGGTTAGGGAGGTATCCCACGTGAACCCCATGCATGCGGCGGAGGAAATTCTACCCGAGGAGATCACAATACCCTCGGGCTGGGGATCTATGTTACAAAGACACTTCTTGACAGGGCTACAGTTTGAACTTGAAGTGATCGATCAACTTTGGGGTCAGCCAAACCAATGAAGTTTTTTCGCGTAAGTTCAGGCACTTTGTAACAATGAGACAAATTATTTTCATTCTCTTTCAGGGACAAACAAAAGGTACAAATCCGGAGACCTGATGCCTGGTACTCGTGCAATTGTGAAAATGCAGACGTGCAAGCATATCGAAAGGGTTCGAGAATGAATACCAGGCGGGTGTTCTTCCTCAGTTAGAGTCCTTAGATTGACCTCCCATGACCGCGTATCCCCATGATAAGTGGCCGAGTTCGTTGGCTGTGTACTCATGAGCTCCTCGAGCACTATAATTTCCCTGAACTCGGTGTGCCACGTTTGCGGGAGGACAGTATGCGCTTCCCTTGCTGAGTTTTGAAGCGCAACACCAACTCCCATGCCCAGCGTGAATTGGGTGCTACCTGGGGGCCAAACTCGGACGCCCTCGCACTGCTATTCTGTCTTAATGCGTATCTGGCCGCTATTCCTTGCATCACGACCGCAGTCCGGAAGGCTGAGAAGGCATCTCCCCATGCCAGATCTTCTGAGGGATCCCATCCTATCACCTGAGCATACCATGCCACGCATTGCTGCCTGGTGGGGAGTCCTGGTGTCGCCCCCGGTTTGAAGGCCGCCGAGTCCTTGTTCGCGCCGACATGAGTCGATGCAGTGGCGGACACAAACGGAGCCGTCACATTCACCAAGTCCGCCAGTGGATGGCCAACTGTAGTCATTTCCCAGTCCAAGACACCAATGACGCGTGGCTCCGTTTTGTGGAATATCAGATTATGCATCATATAGTCACCGTGAATGAGGGTTTTGCGATCTTCTGGTTGATATCGAACATCCTGAAATGCCTCGGTCATTTCGTTCAAGTGAGGGACCTTGGCGACGGGGACACCGGTTTCCTTGTCCCTTGCCTGTGCCTGTTGTATCGAGAGGGACGTGAACGTTCGGATCTGGCGGACATAAAACTTGTCGGGCTTTTCCAGGCTTCCCAGGCCTACCCCTTTATAATCGACCCGATGGATCCTGGCAAGCGTTTCCATGGCTGACCGCCACCTGATGAAGTTAGTCGGGGGTGTCCGAAAGTACCACTTCTGCAGATCCTACATGCTTGTCCTTTCCGATGGACTGACTCCTGGCAGGGACTGCTGGGTAAAGATCCGGCCGTCCAAAAATTCCATGACGTAGAAAATTGTTCCGATGATGGCGGGATCAGTGCAGAGGCAATACACCTTAGGGACGGGAACGTCGGTATTCTCGAGAGCTCGAAGGACTCGGTATTCCCGCTCGACATTGTGTGCTGTTTGCGATAATAGTGCTCCCGGAGGCTTTTTCCTCAGAACGTATCGATTTCCGTCGGCGCCGGTTAGTTGATATGTTGGATTCGATTGTCCGTCCCCAAACTTGCAGAGCGTATCGTTAATGGTGAGTGACGGCTAGAGGTGCAAAAGGCCACTCACTTGTTTGATACTCAGGGGAGTCTTGATTTCTGGCACGGATGTCTCCAGATAGTTTTGCAGTGCATCGAGGTTGATGGGCAGCCGGACCGGCCCCGCCATTCGATCAGTTGCTGCGTGCGAAGGAATGAATGCCTTCACTTCTCTATGCTGAACTGCGCCGACAAGTCTGCTGGGAAGCGATTTTGATCTCTCCAGCAATCGACCTCAGAATTTTTGGATCAAATGGCTATCCATGACATTTTCAAGGGACACGTTTCGGATAGCCTCAAGCTGCGTTGACGTGTATGGTTTGGTGCTCCTTCGGCAAACCAACTAACTGAAGGACATGCCACTGAAGTTGATAGCCTCGGGTACCAAAGATCCAGCAGAGCCGGTTCCGGGCTGTGCACCACTGAGGAACCTGCAAGCTTAGCAACCCATCCAACCTCCAGCATTCAATCAAGTCCCTGGCATTCTGCCACTGTTGGCTTGCAATAGAATCCTCCACTTTCAAAGACAATCCTGTCTGAGTGTCATTGGTCCCAAGAGCTTCGTTCAGTTTGAAATTGCCCAAGTTTGGGTGATCCAATACCTTTTCGGAATAGTGGAGAACTCCCAAACCAGACGAGGGACAAGTAATAGAGAATGGCTGAATCATCCAAATCTATAGTCGAGGAAGATATCTGGGATTTTGTGGACACTGAGGACATTTTTGAACTCGATCCAGCTTCTGTAACCACTGAGCACAGTGTTCTGTCATTCATCAATGGCACCAGCGACCTCAAGGTTGACCTGGACGGGCAGTTTTCCAATGCCCACCAGCATGGCGACTCGGGCCAGGACGCAACCGTCAACCATATGTTAGAGTTAGAGAACACACTTCTCAAATCAAGTGAGTTCACCATGAATACTCCTCGTGGCCAGTCACTGACCATGACAAGCCGGGTTGGGGGTCTTGCCACAGTCTTTGGAGTCGCTTGTGGCTCCTGAAAAGGCCCATGACGGCCAACAGGAACTTACAAATGGGGTAAGTTGTGTTCGTTGGAATGAGTCCTCAAGTCAAACCCACTGATAAAATCAGCCTGATTTTCCAGACATCAGCCCAGACTTGCAAGATCGACTGGTGGAAATCTACTTCCAGAACTTCCACCCGCTCTGTCCAGTGATCGATGAGATCGAATTTTCCAGTTGGTATGGCTCCGACCGACTTGACGACAATCGAGGGAGAGAACTCCTTGGTGCCATCAATTTTGTGGCTTTTGCTCATGTAAGTGACGAGGAGCTTGGACGGAGTCCTTTCACATCGATACCTGAAGCGCAGAGAGCCTGCTTCCGCACCATCAAATACGTGTTTGACCAAAGTTCTCAAAGTCGGCCTGGGGATGTAAGTCTGGTTCAGATTGCACTGCTCCTGAGTCATTGGAGTCCCTTTGATGATTCCAAAGAAGTAAGCACCTACTGGGTTGACCAGGCTTTCCATCATGCCACCATTGCAAATCTCTCCGAGAGCTCCGAGGAATACAGCCGTGTCATCTGGTGGTGCTGTGTCGCACGGACTCGGGCTCTCGCTCTCGGTCTTCGTCGCCCAGACAAGGTCACATCTCTTGAGCCGGGACGCATGATACAATCCGAAGACTTCGGGTCTATAGCTTTCCTTGCCCGAGCGGCGCGCATGGATGGGAAGATTTTCGAGATTGAAGCTTTCATCGCTCTCTGTAAATTGTCCGACTTGATGGATCGCATTCTGCTTCTTCGAAAGAATTCCGGAAAACTTTCAGACTGGAGGGCCGAAAACCCTTGGCTATCCATTTGTAAAGATGAATTGAATCACGTCGTCAGCGTTGACAAGGATCTCCGGAATTGGGAGAGCTCGCACCGAGGTTTACTTGCCAGAAACAACATAATGGCTCAGACGAGGTCCCAGCTTTTGACGCTCCAGATATTGCGAATTGTTCATTTGTGAGTGATGAGGCCGGCAGAACCAGAAGCGCAAATGCTGACCCTTTCAGATCAACGTTGATGTCGCTCTATGAGCCATACATGAGATGTCCTATCCAGCAGAGGTCTCCAGCCTTCCTCTTGCACAAAGCATCCGTAGAAAGAGTGAAAGAAACTTCGTTCGCCATCGGTGATGCTGTCCAGAGCTTGTGGGAGGTCGCCAGAGTCGAGGACCTGCCTGCCTGGTTGTAAGTCTGCTTTTTTCCGATCTATAGAAAAAGCCTACTGACAGCCACACTGTAGTCCTTGTTGGATCACTCTGCCGGTTGCCGTCCTTCTTGTCTGCCTCGGTTGCAGACATGGGGAGCTTCAACTGGAAGTAATGCCGGTCTTAGCCCCCATGATGGAGGTGCTGAGAAAGATGCAGTCACGCTTTGAAGGTGGTGGCTACGTCGCCAAAATCATCGAGAGCATCACGAGAACGGTCGACGTCAGGGTGCATTCCTGGGAAGAGGAGCACGTAATATCATGGTTACCCAAATGGCTCGACCGCTCTCCTGAGACGCTCGAGTATCAGCTGCTAGCCCGTGCAGCGCAGATGGTACGTTCGAGTTTTGCGGATAAAACCATCGCGGTCGAAATTGTATGAGTAGGGCTCGGGATCAATTTCATCATGACACGATTTCAAAGAATTCATCAATTGGATAAACAGAAGGCATTGCATTTTCTATGTCTCCGTGGTCTATTCAGATGTCTAGCTTCTACTATTCTCTCTTTGGTGTGAATCCTAGCGGCGACCGTCCACCAAGTTATAAGCATTTCTCGTGGCCAATCTATACAGCAATCCTCTTCCCATAGAACAGGGGAGTCAACGCTCAGGCTTTGGTGACCGTAAAGCCCTTCCAGCCATCGAGGCTATCTCGGATTACGTTGTTGTATGTCTTAAGACCTCCCATGTACAAGAGCTGTTCTCGTTTCTTCCCGGGAATATTGGAACCCATGTACCAACTGTCGGAATAGATATGGAGTGTCTTTTCATTCATCTTCTGAATTTCGTCCCGCCATTTTTCTGCGGCGTCGAAATTGGGCGTGATCGACTTGATCTCTTCTTCTCGCATCTTCTTTACGGCATCCACGATCCATTCCATCTGGATCTCAATGACAGGCGGTCCATTCACAAAAGCGGTGGGAGCTTGAGGGCTGTACACCATAAAGAGGTTAGGCATCTTAGGAATAGTGAGTCCCAGGTATGTGTAGACCCCCTCCTGCCACTTTTCCTTGACGGTTTTGCCGTCTGTATCGTAGAGATCGATCTCTGTGAGACTTCCTGTCACCGCATTGAATCCGGTAGCCATGACAATAATGTCAAATTCATGGACTTTTTCGGTCGTTCTGATACCATTTTCCACGAATTCGACAATGGGCGTCTTGTTCAGATTGACAACTGTGACATTGGGTTGGTCCAATGCTTCATAGTAGTCCTGCTCAAGTGAGGGTCGCTTGGTGCAGAAGTACTGGGTTTGCTCCAGCGGAGCGACCACATCTCTCTTGAAAGGATCCTGGATACGAGCACGGACCTTTCGAGCCCAGAAGTCATAGAAGAGGGCGTTCGCTTTCTTGTCTGTGAGGAAATCTCGATAATTACCCACGCTGAAGTTGAAGCCTCCGCGGCCCCAGAGCTCTTCGAAAACGCGCTCCCTTTCCTCCGGTGAGACGTCCCATATGGAATTCTTGATGGTATTGAACGGGAATCCAGAATCCGTGTTTCGAGCTGTCTGGTACCAACTTTCGTAGAATGATTTCGCAATGTCTTGTTCGTCAAAGGTCAATTGACGTTGCCGCATAGGCAAGGCAATATTGGGTGTCCGTATAAAAGTTGTGAGCTTGCAAGGCTGGCGAGCAAGTGTTTGGACAATTTGAACTCCAGTCGCGCCATTCCCAATCACGCCGACTGCCTTGCCACTGAGGTCGATCTCTTCTTTGGGCCATGCCGATGAATGGAAGACACGGCCTTTGTACGCGGAGAAGTTTTTAAAGTCCGGCACGTGTGTTTTGTAAGAGCTGCCGGCGGCGAGGACGAGATAAGTGGCTTTCACCACGCCACCGTTATGCGTCTTGACCGTCCATTGCTGAGTATCGATATTGAAGCGGGCTTCCACGACACTGGTGTTGAAGAATGTGTCCTTGCTAAGTTCGAGGACTTTATCGGCGTGCGCAAAATATCGACGGAGCTCCTCATGGCCTGGAAACCGTTCCGACCATGTCCAAGTGTTCCATAGTTCAGGAATTGACAGCGCATAGTACGGAACCTCCGAGTCGACACGAGCGCCAGGATATCGATTGTGATGCCAAGTACCACCGTAGTAGGTACCAGCGTCGACGATCTTGACCGACAGATTCAGTTTTCGGAATTGATAAAGCCCATAAATGCCTCCAAAACCAGCCCCAACAATGAGCACATCGGTCGTGAGGTTGGGGACATTGCCTGTAGGGGGCTCAGACGTCACGCCGTTCGTGATGGCCATCTCCTAGTCCCTCCGGCGTCAGTCCCTCCGGTGTTGTATGGAAACATTGGCGAACCGGGCAGAGGTTTAATATCAGTGTTGGAAACATGGTTCAATGATCAGGGATGCCCCGTCTCATGATCATAGCCCGACGCGACCTCGGCAACTCGGTGTCTGGACCAGCCATGGGGAGCAGAGATATCTTCAATTAGGTTCTTGTTCGACCTCACAACTATATCTCACGTGGTAGCCGAGGATCGCTGGGGATGCAGGTGACTAGAATACCCGACTGTTCAGCTTCACTTGATAACAACACGGCATTTGAACGTCAATTGACCGGCTCTATAGGAGTGTAGGCCAAAACCAATTTGTCCCCAGTCCGCCGGAGTCGACGCTTTTGCCTCGAACCTCCGCGCCGAAAAGCTGCCAAAGGATGGGTTTTGCTCCAAGAGAGCGATACGCACTCTCCACCAAGGATGTTCTTTCTTGGATTTTCGACGATGTAAAATATGATCCGGACAAGCCAGTACGTGCTCCCTCCACCTTAGACTTTTCCGAGACTGAACAAGTCGAACAAAAAGGTTTACATTGATACGGCAAATGCGGAAAGATCCATCTCTAGTCGAAAGGCACGCGCAATCGTACGGCAACTGGCAGCAGGCTTTGATGCCGCCGGTGTCAAAGCAGGCGACTGTGTGTGCGTCCATGCGTTCAACGACATCTACTATCCTCTCATAGTCCTGGGTATCATCGCCGTAGGAGGCGTTTTCACCGGAACCAACCCAGCTTACACAGAACACGAACTGAAACACGCCCTGAGAACGGCAGCGGCCAAATGGCTCATTTCCGAGCCTGAAATATTAGATCCTCTGCACAAGGCCGCACGGAGCCTCAACATCGCCGACTCCCGAATATGGATTTTCAATCCTCTACCAAACCAGCAGGTTCCTCGCGGCTGGAAATCGTGGAAGGCTCTATTTGAGCAGGGAGAGAAAGACTGGATCCGATTCAATGATTTGGACACGGCCAGGGGCACCATAGCCATGCGACTGTTCAGCTCGGGAACCACGGGCTTGCCCAAGGCGGTCGACGTGTCGCACTACAATGTCACGGCGCAGCATGACTTGATCTGGGGACGTCACGTCGCAAACACGAGCTTTGAAGACATCCATCTCTTCCCCCTACCCATGTTCCACGCCGCCATCGCATTTCGGGCGCACACGAGCACTTTGAAAGAGGGTGAGAAGACGTACATCATGCGGCGCTTCGACCTGGAGCAGTTTCTCGCCAACGTGGAGAGGTATCAAGTGACATGCCTCGGGCTAGTCCCTACCATGGCCCTGAACATTATCAAATCGCCGCACAGCAGGAAATACTCCATGAAGAGCGTCCGTTGGTGTATGTGCGGGGCGGCGCCGTTGCGTCCCGAGACACAAGCCCAACTGCAAAAGCTCCTCCGTGACGACTGCCCGGTCACCCAGGTTTGGGGAATGACGGAATCGTCGTGCTCAGCGACCCGTCTCGAGTATCCAGAAAAGGATACGACCGGGAGCATTGGTCGTTTGATACCCAATCTCGAGATGAAGCTTGTCGACGATGATGGTAACGACCTTGGCGAAGTCTATAATGTCCGTGGCGAGATGTGCCTCCGAGGACCGACCATCGTACCTGGCTATTATAACAATCCCTCGGCGAATGCACAAAGTTTCGACGCCGACGGCTTCTACCACACGGGCGATATCGGCTATTGCGATGGAACGACAAAGCTGTGGTACATCGTTGACCGGAAGAAGGAATTGATCAAGGTACGAGGCTTTCAGGTGGCGCCACCGGAGATTGAAGGGATTTTGCTAGATCATCCCGACATTGTCGACTGCGCCGTAATCGGAGTCCAGCATCTCGTCGACAATGGAGAGCCCTTGGAAGCTCCGAGAGCTTATGTGGTGCGAAGGGAGGGCTGCACGGAGAGAGGTTTGGACGAAGAGGCAGTCAAGGACTACATTAAACCAAAATTGGCCAGGTATAAGTGGCTAGACGGAGGAGTTCGATTCGTTAATCAGATTCCGAGATCAGCGAACGGCAAGATATTGAAGAATGTCTTGAGGGATGAAGCGACGAACGAGTCTGCGGGCAGGAGACCCAGTAAGCTCTAGGTGTACATATGGAGTCGCGGGGCGTTTGATGAACCCCTTTCGCCAGGATTTCAATGCCATAGGCGCCCCCAGCTTAATTGTTGCGGAGCACATTGTTCACTCTCCTGACATGATGAACCTACGCTGAGGGTGGGCGGCGAACAACGGACTTTTGAGTCCTAACACGAGGGCTTTTGCGTGGCCACGGGCAACTCTGATCGTGAAGAATGATTTTGAATTTGACGCGACAATCAATACCTTGGACGCATATAGCTAACCATACTTCAAAATCTCCCTTGGGAACACATCACACCTCACATACGAGCTGTTCCACCTAGAAGCTCTACCGCGGCCGCAGACAGGACGACTTGCCCAGTTTCGACTATTGAAGTTGTGAAGATGACGGCACGACCTTCTTTCCACATGGACGTCTTCAAGGTCTGCCCAGGTAGCGTCACGCTGGAGAAGCGTGCCTTGATGTTCCGGAAAGGGCCGTAAGTTGTGTAGAGGTGCTTTGCGGAGATACCGAACGAGCACAAGCCGTGCAGAATGGGTTTGTCAAAGCCTCCCCCTTTCGCGGTGTCCGGGTCGATGTGCAATGGATTGAGATCCCCCGAAAGTCTGTAGAGTGCCGCCGCTCTCTCCGACACCTTTTCCGTCTTGACGGCATCAGGAGCTCGTGACGGAACCTTGTTGGGTGCTGTCGCCGGCCCACGGTCTCGACTGGTCCTCGAGCCACCAAATCCACCACTACCATTCACAAAAATTGTCTGTTCGTTGTAGAAGACATCTTCCCCGGTCGAAGAGTCTACTGTACGGAAGGTGGTCACGACGACTGCCGCTTTGCCCTTGTCGACTATCTCGCTGACGGCAGGGTACGTGATCAAGTTTCCACTCACGGGGACCGGAAATTTGCGTATCTCGAGGTATTGTTCGCCGTGCAGGAGGCGTTTCTTTCCTTGAGGTCAGCGATGCCCACACAGAAGTGTTCAAGTTGACTCACCATCGAAAAGTTCGGAAGCATATCGGCCATCATGGTCGCGACTGAAGGGTCATAGTACGGAATGACACCTGCAATAGTAGACATGAGCAATTGTGGGTTACGAGACATCAAGTTTTCATACCAAATGTCGGCAAGGCTTCAAAGGATCTAGATCCTTCAAAGACCCACTGGCTGTCTGTCGCCTGAGCTCCCACGCCGAGATTGTAGAGGATGACATCTTTCGTGCTGTACTGGTACTTGATTGTCTCGTCTTTTCGAGCGCTCAAAGGTGCCGGCAACAAAGTACCGTTACTCGAGGTCTGACTTGCTGTTATGTCTGCCGAGTTAAGCCGGCTCCATTGAACCGACGCCTTCAGCGACTCGGCACTGATGGTCTGCCGACTAGGGATGGTCTCGAGGGCGGCTCTTCGTAGCCTATCTACGGCAATGAAGCCAGAGCCAATTTCGTAGAGGCCATTGGTGCTTGGCCCAGGGAGCTGGTCCGAGAGAAGCGCGAGCGTGAATGGCGCCACATAGTCGGGCTTCAGTGCCTGGACCATCTCCTCTGGCATGACCGTTCGTGTGAGCTGCGTCCCAGCGCTCGGGCCGATAGTGTTGACGCGAATATTATGCTCGAGTCCTTCTCTGGCCAACACGCAGGACAAGCCAATGGTTCCACATTTGGCGGTGGCGTAGTTGCTTTGGCCAAAGTTGCCGTAGATGCCGCTCACGCTGGTGGTGTTGACGATCCGCCCGTATCTTTGCCGGACAAAATGTGGCCATGCTGCACGAGCAGTCTTGTAAGTGCCGCGAAGGTGGACGGCCTGGATGATTCGCCACATGTCATCAGTCATGGCTTGGAAGGACTTGTCTCGAAGGATACCCGCGTTGTTGATGAGGATATGGATGCCTCCATAAGCGTCTAGTGCTGTCTGGATAATCTTGTCACCTTCCTCGACCGAGTGTCGGTCAGCAATGGCCTGCCCTCCTGCCGCCTGGATCATGTTCACGGTCTTTTGAGGGTCAGCAAGGTCGTTAACCACGACCTTCGCTCCCATCCTGGCTAATAGCAAGGCGTACTGTTGGCCTAGACTGTTCCACAGCGTTAGAGGCCCGGGAGGTCTATCGGGAGGATCATGGATTTCACTGACCCGTTTCCTGCTCCAGTCACGACCGCGACTTTGGCCTTGAAGTCCGTATTCTCGCCCTGTGCGTTGGCGGGCAACTGCTTTGACTTTTCAAGCAATTCCATCGCATCCCATGGCCCATCTGGATGGGTGTCGGAGTTTTCAAAATCCCCTACGTTTGGCCAGGTTTGAAGGACAGCACTAACCGACAGGTTGCTGTCTGTTTTCAGACCGTGTGGTTTCGAACGCTCCCAACTCAACCGAGAAATTGAACTTCTGTCCGCCTCAAAAAGGGCATTGCTCGTGTGCGAGCTCGGGTGTGACAGCAGGCCTGCGAGCGCCACCGTCCCCATCAAGACTTCCGGGGCAAACGTTGATGGTGCCATGATCAAATTACAAAGGATGTTGTTTTTACGGCCTTCTTTCGCCAGGGTTTCGGTGAAGCCAATCATGCCAAACTCAACCACGGGAGAGACAGCATGGGTTGGATGGCCAGACAGTGCCGTGGTTGGTACCAAGTTGATGATCCGTCCCAATTTTTGCTTCTTGAAGTAGGGCCATGCTGCCCTTGAGGACTGCATGCGATCAATATAACTTGGAAAAAAGAATTTATAGCATCGTCACGGGGCCGCAGACTGACCTTGTATGTCCCGTAAATGTGTTCCTGGGTACCCGTCAGCGGAATCTTGAAGAGTGTCTGACAACCCAAGTTTTGCTTACCTCTGTGAAGATATCCCATTCCTGGTCCGAGATTTCTGCAAACTTCTTGCCCGCACAGGGATCAATAGTCATGTTATTGATTAGGACATGGATCGCTCCGAATGCACTGATCGCTTCCTCCACAACCCTATGCCCGTCCCTCGCAGGGCACAAACATGCCGTCGCCGACCCTGATGCACGACGGATCTCGTCCACGAGTGCATCGGCGGTATGCTTTTTGTCATCTTGTATAACAACAGACGCCCCTCGAGAAGCGAGATCGAGAGCCAATTGTTTCCCTACTTGGTTGCCACCATTTGCGATGGCGACAACTATGTTGTCGAAGCGGATAGTCTTGGAATGCATCGCGGTTACAGATAGATTGAATACCGTTTCTGCCGAAGAATCCGATGTCGTTCTTGGGAATTATTGCATTGATAGAGACAGCGCGGCTACAGCTCACGTGTCCGCTATATACTGTGCACATAACCTCGGAAAGCCTTTCGCTGGGCTGAGCAGGGCTGGGAGTTCAACAATCGGCTCCTCCGTATCCGGCAAAGTCCCCGCGAAGCGGAGGTCATCCAGGTAGCTTTGTCATTATGGTCGTGGTCGCTCTAATCACTGTGCCGGTGCATGAGAACTTTGCCTATCATTTGGATACTCGCAATTCTCACACCAACGAGAATACGAGGAAGCCGGCAAGAACACATTTTAACCCCCTTTAGCGAGGCAGTTGTGGTGTTAGTTTCTTCATGGACATTCAGCTGTCGAATGCCGCGCTGCAATGCATTGTCAGGTCCTGGATTGGAGGAACAATTACGAGGTACATGACATCTACCGAACCTCCAGATGCTACTGTACAGGCCACAGCCGAGTCAACGTCGCTTACATCCACTATGTAGATACTTAACGTGAGGCGCTAAAACATAGGAGGTAAAGCCGCTATCTTCGGCGATACTGAGACTTCGCTATACCAGATAGAGGTTGTGCTGCTCATGCTGATACGTCGGTCGCCTTTTAGCCACGCCCTCTACTTTCGGGACCTGACTTGGCGACCACACTAGTGATTTTTTGTCCCACAGCCCGGGGTAGCTTAACTCTACTCGGTGCAATCGCTGATATTGAACCCCTCAAATGGTATAGGAGCCTTCCCAAAAATGTAGGCCGGAATGACACACACACACACCGCAGTGCGTGACTTTGACCAGGACTTCCGTTCCTTGAGATTTCAGGGATTGATCGATGGATCTTCTCCAGCGGCTTCCCATACTTCAACCACTGCCCCAGGCCTCCATGTTGGTCGATACTATCACTGTCGTGGTAGGCGCGCGCGACGTCTATCAAGGGCGCTGGCGCTCAGTTTCGGAGCATGAAGGGGCAAAGAATCAAAATAAGGTTACCCGGAAGCCGGTTCGCCGAATGCCAGAGAGGCCGAGTTCACCCAAGCAGCCAAGGTCCCCCGGGAAAAAAAAGCAGCCATTCAGAGAAGCACGAAATTTAGGAGCAGCTCTAAGCCTCCGCTAAGCTTAGGGCGGGTGGATCTCGACTCTTCTTGGTCCAACAGACAGCCTTGGGGGGTTCTCCGTCCAAGTTCGGATGATTTTTTACCATGTCCATTTTGACATGATATGTTGTTGGTACCATTCATGTGAATAAAGCAGGGTATGATATTCAAATATTCAAAAAAGCTCGCATAATAAAACCCATTCTTGTCGCTTCTGAATGCACTCAAACTCCGGGCCGATGTTGTCTCCGGCTTCCATGGCCGTTGCGCGCCCAACCGTGCTTAGTGCGATCCACGCCCGGTCAAAGCAACCATGGTCTGCTAATATCATCAGGGACCCGCTGGGTATGGGATTCGGAAAAGACCCCTTTACCTCGGGTGCCCCGGGATAACTTTTGATAACCATCATATCACCCCGAAGAACCCTTTCACAGACCATCCATCAGTCGGACCCAGGAAAATAGAATTTAGCGTCTTACACGAAGAAATGGGCCAAAGATGAATGCCGAGGTCTATCTTCTGGACTCGGAATCACACACGATCCCTTTCAATTCGACCCTGGAGTAGCTAGGGTTTCCGAAGTGCACCTGACACACACACCACAAAACGATGGATAGGGAGAGACAACGTACGAGTGGAGTGCAGGTAATAATGGTACAGAATGTTATCATTGATTGGATTTACCCGGACTGAAGCCATTGTGTCCGACTCATGTTTAGGGCTCGGATGTTGAATCGGTTACCCCTAGAATCCCAAGAAGACGCAAGGAAACTTGGTCTGATTGCTTCAGCTTCCCATCAACGTAACTCAAGCAGCACTCTCAACATAAACAGTTTGTACCGGCTTAGGTTCACGGAGGTGTTCCGCGACCTCTCCAGTGTTTTCGTTAACTTCGATCTCACTCTGGTAGATGGCCACCTCGTCTTCGTCACCGAAAAGGGCTGCTAGTTCCTCGAGCGGAACACCTTTCGTGTCGGGGAAGTAATTCCAGAGAATCAAGCCGCCGATCGTTCCCGGAATGATCAGACAAAGATAATACTTCCATCCGATATTCCTTTCGAGTAAGATCGTCATTAGCAAGGAGCTTCATCATTCCCGACTGTGCCAAAACTCACTTGAATCCCGTTGGCGCTGATTGAAGCCAAATAATGTTGGTAAGGCAGAAGGTAGCAATGCCGAGACTGGTCCCCTTTGCACGTAAATGGTTCGGAAATAGCTCAGCCACGTAAATGAAAAGCAAACCTATGTCAATATTTGTTAGGAGCCGCTTCGTTAATGCGCTATAAAGGTTGGAGAATCAACAACTCACCGTCAAGGAAAACGATGACCGGAAAGAGGTAGATGAAAAGGATCGCCACAGCAGCACGGAGAGCTGCCTTATTCTCCAACGTTTGCCCATAGGTTGCTATGATGGCAGTATAGATGCTAAGGCATACCTCGGAGAATAATACGCCGAATGCCATGTATTGGGGTCGAGGAAACCTGTCGATCAGGACCATCGCAACGACGACGAAGCCAACACTTTGTGTGATCCATGCGCTAGAGTAGAGCAGCTGTTTGACGGGGCCATAGCCCAAACCAGCGTAGAGTGAAGGGCTGTAATCTAACGAGGGGTGAATCCTGATGGCCAAATGACGGGACCGGAACACTCACTGTTGATGACCAACTCTCCAATACACTGTGTGATGACGATATAACCCATCGCATAGAAGCAGCGTTTCCGGTACGAAGGCCGCTTGAACATGGCGGCCCAGGAGGCTTGGAGCGTCCGGTCAATGGCTGTTTGCTTTTGGATCTGATAGAGTTCTGCATGCGCAAAGGAGACGTCTGCAGGGTCCTTGCCACGATGAAGCCGCTCAAGAACGGCTCGAGCTTCTTCGTGGCGGTCTTTCGCGACCAAATATCGTGGGCTCTCTGGAACCCAGCGGAGACCAGCCAGGAAGATGAGTGGGAAGGCACAACCGATGGCGAGGGGTGGCCTCCATTCACTTCCATTGTTGGACTTCCAGAAATAAAACCCGAAGCCGGTCCAGGAGGCGCCTACATAGCCGGCAACGAAACCAACAGTGAGCATCTCCATGACTGTCCCTCGCACGGCTGGAGGAACAACTTCACTCATCCAGATCTAGCCACCGCATTAGCCACGGAAGAATAGACTTGTAGCCACGAAAATGCAAAGCGTACCGTGACAACTGTCAGCGTGAAGAAAGCTGCAAAGCCGGAAAAAAATCGAAAAGCTGTGAAAAGTTCAGTATATGTTCAAAGCTGCGGCGGGCTGGTAAGTCCCATACTAATGAACATGGCAACATGAACGCTACCAGCCAACAAAGCATTTGAGACGATCGTGATAACAGCGGCCTAAAACACCAACGTTAGGTTTTGGTAAAGCCATTCACTTTAGAACTGGTTGACGAACCGCCCCCAGACATGCCTTTCGACCCCATCGATCGGCGACAGGTCCTGCAGCAAGAGAGCCGAAGAATCCACCGGCCTGGAAAAGGCCATTCATTGTTGAAATTAGATCGGTGGCATTGGAAGCAGTGTCGAGATGAAAATACTTCAGAAATGAAGGCTGGCCTGGGGGGGGACAAAGTCAGTCAATCTCGCTGCCGTAGCTCTCTCCAGATTACATACCCAGAGTTGTTCCTATGATAGCATTGGTCCAAGCATAGCCGGCGGCAGCTATTGTAACAAAGCCAACGATGAGAATGTTGTACCAAGTGATGGCAGCTCGATCCTTGTTGGACACCATTTTTCTCCGCTGTGAAACTGGAGAGTTGCAGTTACGAGCGAATCGACCAGAATCTGTATCGTATGCTATCCTGCAAAATTCCTGGTCATGGGCATCTGGTTACTATTTGACTATGATTATCCTAAATACGGGTCCAATCAGACTTATCCGAGGTCACCAAGGTTGCCTTGCAGAATTGTCCTCCTCGGGTTTGATTGACGCTCAGTATCCGGCCCTGGGGCCCCATGGGCAAGTACTGTATGTGCAACCAACCCACCCCACATGGGCCCAGAAAACAGATTTCGCGTGGATAATAGTCGCCATCAGAAACTTCGGGCCAGGTTCAGACCTCGCCTGGTCAATTACTGCGGGTTCCCGAGCTCTTCTGAAGTGTCCCGCATCCCCATCAAGGGACAGAATAGAATCCTTCAGAACCAAATCTTTCCACTCTTGGAATTGGACATACGAAGTGTCATGCCGAAGAGGAACAGAGCCTCTGCTGGTTGCTGGGCGGAAAGGACCCGAGTACCCGGTACTTTCTACCTCTTCAGAGCGGCTAGTCTATTCTCCCTACGCACTGGTTCGACGTGAATGTACTAAACAGACACCGTGGTCAAATTGGAAATAGCCACAACTTGTACGAAGTAGACGTACGTGTTCCATGTTGTTCTCACCGGCATTTTCTCTACCATCTCCTGTGTTTGTGAGCAATAATTGATTTTCTTTAAAGGACCGACTTGGAAAGAGCCGTCCTCATGATTGGTCACTTTCTTTATCTCTAACTAGTGTCTAGGTGCATGGATATATGTCTGTTGGATCGCAAGAAATGTCTCATTCGAAATCCCATGGGACGTCTCCGTTTCTGATGTATGGAGCCATCTTGTCCTGTTCACCCTTCCATTCAAGTTCCAGCCGGCCATTGCCAAAGTATGCAAACATGTTGCTGTTCTTATATGTGTAGTTGTAGTGTTCAAACTTTGGCTCCTTGATTGCCTTGAGATAATGAAGACCCTGGGAGATTGTCAATGGTTTACGTGCCGACCGGAGAGGGCTTCGCAGAACCTACCGATCCGCCCCAGACCCAGACGGTACCTGTGGTGTTACCGCGCTTGTACCAGCTTCGAAGAATTAGTATTGACTGACAGGCGTGATTGAGCAGTAGCATACCTCTTGCAGGGTGCTGAGTATGTTGATTTGCGATGCCACGCATCATGATAACGATAAAGATGGTCGATGACTTCAGGCTTGACCTCCATTGCTTTGATACCTTCCTCTTGCATCTTGTTCGCACATTTAATGACGTATTCGACCTGAAGTTCGACCTGTAAAATAATGAGTTTTGGATTCGTGTCAAGACGAACAAGGTGAACTGACCGAGGGAAAGTAACATCCGTTGGCCCAGTTAGCCCTTGGCCCATTGATGGTGAAGAAGTTTGGGAATTTTGGCGCGGTAAATCCCATGTACACTTTGGGATCCGGAGTGAATTCTTCTTCCATGACCACACCACCGACGCCTCTGACCTGGCTGTGGAAAAAGGTTAGGAAACCTGGAAAATATGAAAAAGTAGTTAAACTCACAACGAAGGGCTGAAGGCGATATTAAATCCAGTGGCGCAGATAATGATATCAACCGGATACAGTGTCCCATCTGCGCCTAGAACACCCTCGGGCACCACTTTCGCAATTTCCTGATGCACGGTTTCGACATCTGCATTGCACGTGTTAACAGAGTACGAGATCAGATCAGCGTATACCAACTTGGTTGAACCAACGCTTCGAGATAGCCCTCTCCAGGTGTTATCCGGCGGCCTGTAATATCCATGTTAGACCTTCAATCGAATCCGCTGAATTGAACTTACACCCGGGGGGCCAGCTTGGAATCAGCTTTTCCTTCAACTCCTCATGGCCAGGCCCAAGCCGTCGCAACATCTCGGCTTTCATGTTTTCTTTAACAACCTTGGCATATTCTGTGTCGGGAAGAAACATGTCGAAACCGGCGTTGAAACTCGATTCAAGCAGCCGTCGATACCTCAGATGATACTCGGGATCTTTGCGAAACCGCTCCTTTTCTTCGGCAGTAAACTTGTGTTGCGGGCCGGCAGGAAAATCTTCTGGGGCTGCATTTGAATCGTTCTCCCGTTGTCCAAGAACCGTGGCTCCAAATGGCGGCGAAATCCTGCAATATCTTAGTTTTCGTGCATCAAGGATATCCTCTGGTGTCTACCAACCATGTATTGGAGCGCATAAACGCAACAAGGTGCTGGGCAGCTAGCACGGATAAGCAAGCACGATCGTCCCAGACTTCAAGTAAAAGCTTACCCTTCTGGACATGCGGAACAATCTGAATGGCAGAAGAGCCGGTCCCCAAAATTGCGACCTTTTTACCAGCATAGTCAATCGCTTGGAATGGTCAGTAACCGGAGTCTGTTGTCGGGCGAGTGAATTTTCATCCTACTTGGATCCCAACTAGCACTATGCACCAATTGGCCTTTGAAATCAAAAAGTCCGGCAATGTTGGGCCCTGCTTGTGGTCAATGTGGATTACTTGGAAGGTATTGTGGCCCGGAAAGAATACATTTCCAATTGTTCAGAAATCCACCTCCATTGACGAGGATGTGACAGTAATCCTCAATGATGCCTCCATTTTGCTCAATCTTCACCTTGTCTATCGGCATCGGTCAGTCTGTCGTCCATGGGCAAAGGCATAAGGGAACTCACAAATGCCCTGCTCATCGTCCCATGTTGCTTCGATGACCTTTGAGTTGAGCTTGAAAAAGTCACCCAGTTCGTGCTTCGCGGCAAATTGTTTCAAGTATTGCAGAATCTCCGGGCCTGATGCATAAAAACTAGACCAGTCTGCGTAACCATCGAATGGGTACGTATAGCCATGAGCCGGACTAGGTTGACATCAGGGATGGGGGGACACTGATTGATAGAACGGAAAAGCTTACACATCGCAGGCACAGCCGGGATACCGGTTCTCGTACCTGATAACATCAGCGTCTGTACTGTACTTGAAGTCCTCAGTCAATGACAGACCAGGTTCCCCCAATCTCGGGGTTTCTATGATGGGTTTTAGCAATCTGGTAATTTTTCCGAATCAAGGCAGTCATACTTGTCATAGCAAACGAGCTCGTAGTCGGTCATCATCTTCCTCATCTTGTATGCCATCAGGATACCTGCCACACCAGCTCCGATGTGGACGACTCGTAGCTTTGACTTTTTCCCGTGCCATTGGTCCAGGAGCTGCCACTCTTCGTCTGGGGGGACATGTGTTTGGGACATTTTGGGAAATTTCTCAAACAAGGTGTTCTGTAGACAATTTTGGTGTTCGCTGGGGATTTTTTCGCACTTGGACCAGATTACATTCCCACGTACTCGTGATAACAATGTATAACCTGTCGTGGAATAAAGTTTAGAATGTGTCGCAGGAACAGTGCCGTGACTTTGAACAAGCCTCCATAGCCGTAGATTTAGGTTGCCGAGGGTTGTGCAAGAACCAAACTCCTCTGCGGCAAAGACAGACCACCTCCATAGTACACCATTGTTTCGTGTGGAACACTGCCGGCTGGCGGGTATCGCTGCGAGTTTGACGACGGAGCGAGGTCAGCCAGGACGACCGAGGCTTTGCGAGGTTCAGGTTTTCCGGGCTTTGTTGTCCCGGAGCTCATTTATCTGTAGTTTGTCCAAACTAAAAACACCTGCAATCCAAAACGAACGCGAGGTTCTCTGATGTGCAGTAATAGCGACGCATAATTGTGAATCATTTACATGACGATGGCTGGAATCCCGAACTTTGAATCCCTTTTCCGGCTGGACGGCAAGGTTGCATTGATTACTGGTGGTGAGTCCGATCGCTTCACACAATTTACATGTCGAAAGATAAGCTCAAGTGATGTTTTGAAATAGGTTCAAGAGGCATTGGCCTTTACATTGCTAGCGGTTTTCTGCAAGCTGGTGCAAAAGAAGTCATCCTGACTGCGCGGAAGGAAGATGGTCTTAAAGAAGCTGTCGCTCAGCTAAATGCTCTACCAAATATCCAAGGCCGCGCTTCTTATATTGTTGCCAATGTGAGCCGCATAGAGGGCATAGAAAAGCTCGTGGAAGAGACCAAGAGTAGGCTGAGCGATGGAAAGCTCCACATCCTGGTCAACAACGCCGCCGCCAGCTGGGGGGGACCTTACGAGGACTTTGACGACTGGAAAATTGCAAAGACTTTGGACGTGAATGTCCGCGGCGTCTTCAATTTGACGCGGAAGTGAGTAATGGCAATGAACATCTCTGCTATATTGCTTTTGGTTGCTGTTTGGAAGCTAACGGGCTGCAAAGGATGATCCCTCTGCTTGCTGCTGCTGGAACCCACGATGACCCAGCAAGAGTCCTGATCGTGAGCTCGGTCGGCGGCATCGCCGTTTTGCACACCGGCTCAGACGGAGCAATCGCTTATAGCATCTCAAAGGCAGCAGCCCATCATCTGGGGAGGAATCTGGCGATAGAACTGGTCAACAAGAATATCACGACGAATGTCATCGCTCCGGGCTGGTATCCCACTCGTCTTGCCAGCCCTGCCATCGAGAAATTTGGTGGCGAGGAAGTGGCAGCCAATGACAATCCGATGAAAAGACTGGGCAAGCCAGAGGACATGGCCGGCGTCGCCGTGTATCTCGCTTCAAGGGCAGGCACTTATGTCAATGGAGAGGACATTAGTGTCGATGGGGGAAAGAGACTTATGATGGGCAGCTATGCCTCACCTTTGTCGGAGCCAAAAGCCAAACTCTGATCTGTCAGTAGAGCACAATCCTCGTCTCCATGGTCTGTGACCGGGTTTGGCAGACGCTGAGAGTGGGAATCTGCAACCAATTCTGTTATTCCTGGGATATCAGCTCTTTTTTGCCTCCTGTTTTATCTACGAGGGTCAATACGGGTAGTGTATTTCGAAACAAACATGAAGACAACGATTGTTAAAATGGTCTGCTGCTTCGGGCAGCGCCTAAAATATGCATGTGAGGATGTCCTGGAGCGGGTAGCGAGGAACTTGGAATCCGGCATGGCACAGCCTTGCGCAGCTTCGTGCCAACCACAGTATATACTCCCTTGCCGAAAGCCCAGCAAGGCTCTCGATATGTTCGGGCAACATCTGGGAAAGAGTTCCGACAATTTCCCTGGTTCCTTGAAGCGGCACGGTGCTAGCGGGTCATTCACGTTGTGCTCATGTCCAATGGACTAGTGTATACCTATTCGTGTTGGACAGAACAAAGGCAAAGTAATCGAGAAAGGGAATTCAAGATACAGGGATTGTTCAGTACACATCATGCACGAGCTGCAGTGTTTTCAGATAATGGTATGGAACCCTTTCCGACACCAAATATGTTCTTTTAGTCTGAATGTCGCCAGCCAGACCTTTGTTTGTATTCCTTCTCAGGGAGATGGACACGGACTTGTCCTTGTACTTTCCCCAGTCAGACCACCTTTTGTAGGTACTTGTTGCAAGCAAAGCCTGCGACTCCGATAACAAGCCCTGCAAGCCCTATCATGCCTGCCAAGCGCCTTTTCAATCGCGCCACCGAAGAATTCTTTGCCTCCTTTAGCAACGACCTCGGAAAGGCGTGCGGAAAGGGAGTCTTCGGAACGGGGACGTTTAGAATCGTGCATAACGGTTCCCATCCATCCCGGACGTTGAAGAAGTAGAGCTGGCTAGCCGGCACGACGCGCCGAACATATTCAGCATGCGCTTCGTAGAGTTTCTCCTGGTTGACCATCGGCAAGGGCTCACACTCGGGGATGCCCACGGCTTGCGGCACGCGTCTCCAGAACTCGTAGGAGAAGGTGCAGAAGCGCCTCAGACTGGGAGAAAGCCAGGACCATGAATACAGATCTTCAATGCCTTGCCACAGTGCCGAATAGCTGTCCCACCAGGAGTCTCGGTCTCGGATCGTGCAGATGACCTTTGCCTCCGGATACAGTTGTAACAGCTCCTCCAAGAAGTAACAGCCGGGTTGGTCAGAGGTCGCTACACAGGCTTCGGTCAACTCGGCGAGGCGATATTGGACAAAGGTGCGGTCCACTAGGGTTCTTATGGGACAGTGCCGCGCAAGCTCAAGCATTCGTCGTTGCGTGACGGCGTCGCTCAAGTAGGAAGCGGAGCCTCCATGGAATACAGGACCTTTGAGAAGGATTTCAAGAGCCTTGGTCATGGACGACGTGCCAGTCCGAGGCAGTCCGCCAACGATGACACTTAGAGCCGGCTGCCGGTCAGCGTTGACATTAGCCATGTCGCTGATAGTTTCTAGAGCGTGTTACTTGTCAACTTCTGCTATGTTGATCAGCTACTTGGTGTGTTTCCTGGTTGACATCAAGGATAAGAATAAGCAGCTGATGGGATTATGTTCAGGGTAAGCAGAGACAAAGTGGCATGGGGTGACACGACAGGAACAGGTGGATTTCCGGCCCTCGACCCACCAATTTGCCTTTGAGCCTGTGTCGTGTGTACGTTCTACAAAAGAGAAAATGTGCTTTCCTGGTCCGATTGGTCAGTAAGACAATCTTTAACCATTCCATTGTCCAACGTATTCGACCCTGCCACAAGAATGCCACGAAGAGTAGTTTCCCTGTAATCTTGTAATGAGATCTCAACAGTTTCGTCCCGACTTCTCAGCGATAGCTAACGTGAATATGATCCCTTTTTAAGGCACGGGTTAGTATATTAATTGCGCGTGGATGACATATGACTTAACCAATGATTTGCTGTGTTGTCTCCTCTATCCCCGTTGACACAATTCGGAATGGTTGTACAAGACTGATACCGCCATTGATTCCAAGGTTTGACATTGTCCTGGCCGCGATGCCAGATTCTCTGTCCCCACATAACGTATTCGAGGGAAAGGCTGCTGGCGTGGTTCATAATCCAAACAGCAATTGGTTCGCCTGCAGTGGTTGTGACCTGCTCGAGTACCTTCAGACTTTGCTTCGAAGGTTGGAGCCTTCCTAATGACGAAAGAGAGTAGGAATAGATCAAAAGAGGCGGTACTCACACCAGCATCGGCAACCATCATATCTGTAGCCATGCCTCTGCAGTGATCGCTAGAAGACGGATCTTTGCATTCCCGAATGCACCCAATGCTCTTGATCTTTCCTGGAAAGGCGGCGACGATCTCTTTCGCCCCGTCGATCGCGACCTGCTTACAGCCCGAGCTTAGGCCGGGAAATTTGGGTGTCGGATAGCCACTGGAAGCCGGCATGCAACACTTGAAGTTTTCCGGGCCGGGACATTTGTTTGTTTCGGTGACACCAGACTTGCAATCAGAGGTAAAGCGGCAGTTGCCTTTGTTGCCTGTGCCGCATGATGTCTTCGTGCAGCATTTGATATTTTCTGGGGTGCCTGGGCAGGCGTTGGAAATGTATGTTCCCCCAGCAGATGAGCAAGATGAGGTCGAAATGCAGACTCCCGGTGCGCTGCCTGAGCCGCTACAAGGGCCGTTGATTTCAGAAAGAGTGAGAGCGGAGGAGGCCTTGACCCATGTTAAAAGGAAAGAGAAGTATAGAAGGAAACGACTGAAGAGCATTGGGGCAAATAACTGGTCAATATGGAGTGTGGTGCAAAGATAATTCTCCAGGTGATCCTAGGTACGATTTTGAGCGTGCATCTCGTCATTTTTCACGGGAGTCAGACCATTTTTATACTTCGACCAGTTCACTGCTCTCCTTCTTCAAATCTCATGGATTTTGAGAGCGTGTATCACACAGGCCTCTCTTGCATCAGCCAAGAAAATTCAGAGACGGGAGTGTTCATATCCTGTGGCACTTGCCGTCCACAGAAATGCCGTCGATCTCAATAACCGGTTTGCCGTCTCGAGCCCAAGGTTCCGTTCGAGAAAGGTTGGGGTTTAATATCAAATATGATTCGATTCGATAGCATGGTCACCACTGCGCCAATGCTTGGCCAGCGGAAGACAAGTCTGCCTCTTTGGAGCCGAGTTGTAAGCGTTACACAGTAAGCATTTGATGAAGCCGTCCCAAGACGGCGGAAGGTGTTGTTGACAGAATTCTCATCTGTATGTTGATGGAGGCATTCGTTGAACTGTGTATGATGCAGCCAGATATAGTAGTATTACAAGCTTTTTGCCATACCCGAGAGCGCGATCATGGTGATCCAAACTCCATCCTAATTGTCCTTGGAGGGACACTCCTGATCAATGGTGGCAGCTGTGAAAGATTCCTGTGAATATATTTCCAGATCGGCAAGAGGGTACACACTGCTTAAATAGCGTGCCACAGCTGTGGGACATTGGAGCGCACGATGTGTGTTGATATAGAACAACGAGAAAAGGAGAAACGAGCAAGATAAGGAGTTGGTAGCCAGCATGTGCTCAGCCTTGTCATCCAGCCTCGTTTGAAGTCAGTCACGGGACCGGTTTTCTGCCAAGCCTCCGATATTTATCCGACGCCGAAACAATTTTATCACGCTTCAGCTTTTTGCTGCATCTCTCAACTTCACATCTTGTGTCGTCCTGACTCTGTATCTCCTCGGGGCTTCATTCGACGCCAATGTTTAGCTTCTATTTCTCTAGTTATACATGACCTCCATTCTTGGCCCCTTATTTTCCCGGAAACCAGTTGTGAGTTGTACCCTGTATCCGTGTCACTCCCATCCTCCGTGTTACCTGATGAACTCAATCATACACCAAGTTCCGGCGATCCTTTTCATGAGCCTTGAACTCAAACATGCACTACCATCTGACCCTCCAGATATACCGCAGCTCCCTTGATTTTACACTCGATAGTGGTCTGGAGATACTGACATCTGTCTGCAACAGCATCAATCAAGTTTGGATGTGACGTGTCCATGGACAACAGGAGGTGAGCATCTCAGCGATTTCTACCTCTTCTCTTTACCCAACATCTTATGATGATCAAAGGTTTTTATCAAACAGTTCTGCTTCTGATATCCCTTGAAGAAAGCATTACCAAGCTTACCATATTGTCTGACTTTTGCACCTTAACCTATGTTTCTTCATTCTTGTCCCTTCTGGTGCCACGATATTGAGCTAACAACTGGCTTATCTTCAGGGAACGACAGACTCCTCTTCCACGTATTACAGAGCCGTCGAAAGTATGTCACCCACCTCTACGTAGCTGCTCCGTCGATGCCCACTGCAACCTAGCGATTCCTTGATATCTGTTTATGATGACACCAAGTCTATCCATTCTCTGAGTTCTCCACTTTGTGAGACACCTTTCCCCCAAACGCGATGGCAACCCCCCGACCGTGGCTATCGTTATGAAGTTGCGTGTTGGTGTGGGTACGTCGTTCCGGGGAAGGGTATGAGGTCGACGGCTTTTCTGATTCCTTTGCACATCCTTTACTCTCATAGTGGTCTAGGCGCCGTCGCTCGGTGACTTGTATCAGGAACACCTATGGCTAACGGGCAATTCGTTTAGGGTTTGTTCAATAGTGATATATTATAAGCTACCCCTGCTGGACTAAGGCATGGCCATATTGTCGTGAAATCTGCAGCCGATCCTACCAATATTTCGTGCATCGTCCATTCATTGTTCATTCAGTCATCATACGCATCCACAAGGCCGGCTGCAGTCTGATCTCTGTCCTCGTCCTGTCTCATTACAAGGCCATCGAGTTTCATAACCAATCGATCCACTGTCCGGGCCTGCCACGGCACGAATTTGGTGCCATGTCCATTCAACTGGATTCTATCCATACTCTCCTGGAGACTGGTAGTATTCAGTCCCACTCCGGTCCATTTTTCCTTCTCCATGTCTCGAATTTCCGTCACCAGATCCGAAAGTGCAATCTCTATCGACGTTCTTGTACGATCCATTTCGGCGAGAACATCTATCTCATCTTGTGCGTAGTTAGAGAATGCATCAAATACGCCTTGGTCCTCTTGGAGGTCCAGCCCCTCCCACACTGTTTGCAAGCGGGAGAAAAGCGCGATGAAGTGGTCGGCTTGACTCAAGAAGTCTTTGAGTTTTGCAACAAATGCGACATTCGTAAGGAATAACGCCGTGTATAGGGCGTGCAAATATCGCCGATGGGCCTCTGCCATGGTCCGAGGATCAGTTGGCATCGTACTCGCCTCATGGTTGGATGATTCTGCGGTCCCGGTTTGCCCAGCTGAAGACGCCGTGCCTGGTCTCGACGACTTTGCTGATGATGGATACAGTCCATCATTGCCGTCTAGCCAGTTTGAAAAGTGCGTCCAACTGCCCTGGATCACCTCACCCTGCAGGAATGCCTCGAGCTCATTGATCATGAACAGAGCTCTGCTGGCAGTGGTCCAGTATGCCCTGGTCCTTGTCGAACGTCGAGCGTCCCGTGCTCTTCGAGATGCCAATATTTGCCGCCCATATTGTGAGGCGCTTTGAGGGGGCCCCATGGGAGAAGGATAACATCTGCGATGTGATGACAGCTTCCATAGTGCGGACAAATGCAGCCCTGCTCTGTGGATCGAGACCAGATAAGCATTGATGCATGAATACATCCGCACATCGCTTGAAGATAGGAAAATATGCAATGGTGAAGCGTTGGGGATTGTCAAGTGCAAAATGGTCGGGGTCGGCAACAGCGTTGACACCAGATCCCGATCAAGCTCGTTCTTCTCATCAACAGTCCGAAGAGATAATAGCTTCCTTGCTAGGTTGAGAGTGTCGTCTTCCATGTCGTCGTCAACTTGTAGCGCTGATAACTCTGCCATGGTCTTGTTCAATATACCCTTCAGCTCAGCCTCCTTAATTGTAAGTTCATCGAGTCTTCCAATCTTCCTCACCGGACGAGTAGTATTGGGTGTTTGTCGATGGTTGACTACTCGATCGTCTGCATGGTTGATCAACGACACTGCAAATTCACCATGATTGAGGAGCATGTAGCGCAAGATGACTTGCAGCAGCTGCATGACTAGTGGTCGAGGGAGGACTTGGGATAAGGCGTTCTCGGATATCGATTGATTAATGGAACAGATTGTGTTTTCCACCAATGCTGGATTCAATGGGTACTGCAAGGACTCCAGCAATGCCAAATGTGTTGGTAGCAAAGACAAGGATGCGTCACTCGATACGCTCAGTAATGGCCCAAACGACACTGTCTGTGAATATAACCGGCTCAGAGCACTGCCGGCTGAAAGTAGAGCACTGCTTGTCCCCGGATTTAGGAACTTTGGTGCGAGTGAATAGTCGAGGATGTATGAATCCATCACCGATAATGGTTTGGAATTTGGTTTGATGCAGAAATCCTCAGCTCCAGAAGTTGGCAGTCGCCCATAAAGCACCCACAGCGATGCAGCTCGCATCCAGGCTTTCTGGGCAACAGTCAGGAGTGCAATTGCCATGTCCTCAATATCAGAGTATCCGGTGTGTGTCTCGTTTTCCAACCAATCCAGAATGCTAGCCCCAGAAGGCGAGCGGTTCTTCACATTCTGCGTGGAATGAGGGTCCAAATGCAGGACTACCGACCATAGCCATTCCAATCGTCTCGTCCATGGTGCAAACTCCGCCACAAGAGTACTCAATGGCACGACTTCATAAGCTCCGACATAGGCGGCATCCTTTTGTAATATGCATGATTCCACCTCTATGATCTTATCCACAAATTTGCTCAAGTGGACGTCTGCGATTGACGAACTGACTGCTCGACAAACCATCGACCGGTGAGTTGTAGACAAACTTGATGTCGCGCCCTTGATGAGAGTGTGTAAATCGTGCAGATGACCTAGGGTCGCCAGCATTGCCCGTTCTGGGGGTGAGACATATTGACTGAACGTCTTTTCGTCGCCCGTTCCTGCGGTGGACCCCGCGTGCGACCAGATGGGTGATTGGAGGCCGGATAAGGACAAGAGGATCTCATGAAGCATTTTGATGGTTTGGCACGAGGACGGGGTGCAGGATCGTGGCACAAGTCGAACAAAGCGGGAGAGTCGTGCTGCCGCTGAAATTTGAGGATTAGCCGCCCGAACAGCTCGAAGCGACACATTGAGAGGAACTGGGGCCCATTGCGAATGCGAAATCGAACAGATGGAGCTGCACCGTGGATCAACACGCGTCGGTAGAAGCAAGACGCGTCGAGAAACGTTGCTTTGGTCGACTACATACGACTCGGTGGGAAGACTTGGAGGGAGAGTTTACACGGCGACAAGAGAGCTCTACATAATACCTGGAAACCTTACAAGCCGGTTGAAGCGGCGGTGACCTTTGCTCAGCGCGTTGAGCGTGGGGCGCATCACTTTGACTGCGAGGTATCCCTACATCAAGTGGCAAGTGCGCCGACTGGTGGCCTTTCAGCCTAACCACAAGTCACCTAGGCAGCCTACTGAGGCCTGTGAGGCTTATTACTATTGCCTGCGATTATTGCATCACTGTCTTGGGCGTCTGCCTTCTCACCCAATACGAATTGCTCTCCGACATCAAGGAACCAACTGCGGTCCGCGACGCTTCTTTGACTAATATAACAAACAACCTTGCCTTCTGCCTTCTGGTTGCGCCATCAGATTCTGTCCTTTTCTTGATAATCAACCTCTTGTCTATTTGTCCTCCCGTCACTCATTTTCGCCTCCCTCTCCTCCTGCCACGGGGTTCCCCTCCTCCCTCTGAAGCGTTTATCTGAAGCAGCTGTTTGCGCTCTTCGGATCAATTCTACCGCCATCTGGGTCTTGCTTGAGGCAAGGCCACTGTCACCATTTCACCTCACGCCGAGTTCCCAGACTCTATAAAGGCCGGTAGCAAAAGAAAGGCTTCGTCAGAAGACCTCGCCCGGCCAGAAAAGAAAATCATGACAGACTCTGTGATGGAAGTTGACAACCCTGGGGCTGCCATTACGGAGCTCCAGAATGGCGAAATCGACGAATCTCTCTACAGCCGGCAACTCTACGTCCTGGGCCACGAGGCTATGAAGCGGATGGGTGCGTCTAATGTGCTCGTTGTCGGGCTGAAGGGCCTGGGCGTGGAGATTGCGAAGAACATTGCCTTGGCCGGCGTCAAATCCCTGACCCTCTTCGACCCTCAGCCTGTTGCTATTGCCGACCTTTCCTCCCAATTCTTCCTCCGGTCTGCAGATGTGGGCAAGCCCCGAGCAGAAGTGACCGCCCCGCATGTGGCCGAGCTCAATTCCTACACTCCCGTTACTGTCCACAAGGCCAAGGCATTAACCGATGACTTGAGCCAACTCAAAAAATACCAAGTCATCGTCCTCACAACCACATCTCTGAAAGATCAACTCACGATCTCTGATTATTGCCACCAGAACGGCATTTACCTAGTGATTGCTGATACGTTTGGTCTATTCGGCTACATCTTCACCGACTTTGGGAAGGACTTTACTGTAGGCGACATCACCGGAGAGAATCCCATCAGCGGTATTGTGGCGGATATTGATGAGACTGGTCTGGTATCTGCTCTGGACGAGACAAGACATGGACTTGAAGACGGCGATTATGTGGAGTTTGCAGAAATCAGAGGAATGGAAGGTCTCAACGGAGCACCTCCTCGGAAGATCACTGTCAAAGGCCCGTACTCGTTCTCTATTGGCGATGTCTCGGGACTGGGTAAATATGAAGGAGGCGGTCTTTTCTCCCAGGTCAAGATGCCGAAGGTGCTTCAGTTCCAGTCGCTGTCAGAACAGATCAAGAAGCCAGAATTCCTCATATCCGATTTTGCCAAATTTGACCGACCAGCAAAGCTCCATATTGGCATTCAAGCTCTCCATGCTTTCAAGGAAAACAAGGGCGCCTTCCCTCGTCCACACAACGAGGAAGATGCAAAGGAAGTCCTGGAAATCACGAAGAAGTTGGCCAAGGAGAGTGCTGAGGAGGTCGAAATTGACGAAAAGTTGATCACCGAGCTAAGCTACCAGGCACAGGGTGACTTGAGCCCCATGGCTGCGTTCTTCGGTGGTCTCGCTGCGCAGGAAGTGCTGAAGGCCGTGTCAGGGAAGTTCACACCGGTTGTACAGTGGATGTACTTTGATTCTTTGGAATCCCTCCCTACTTCTGTGAACCGAAACGAGGAGCTTTGTAAGCCCACAGGTTCGCGATATGATGGCCAGATTGCGGTGTTTGGCAAGGAGTTTCAAGAGAAAATCTCCAACGTGAAGAACTTTCTGGTTGGCGCGGGCGCCATTGGATGTGAGATGCTCAAGAACTATGCTATGATCGGTTTGGGTACTGGCCCCAAGGGTCACATCACAGTCACAGATAACGACTCCATCGAAAAGAGCAACCTCAACCGTCAGTTCCTGTTCCGAGCAAAGGACGTTGGGAAACAGAAGAGCGAGGTTGCAGCGGCAGCAGCCCAAGCAATGAACCCGGACCTCAAGGGGAAGATAACGACAATGACAGATCGCATCGGGCCCGACAGCGAGGACATCTTCAATGAGGCGTTTTGGCACGACCTGGACCTTGTCACAAATGCTCTGGACAACGTCGAGGCTCGTACATATGTCGATCGACGCTGTGTTTTCTTCATGAAGCCTCTGCTGGAAAGTGGCACTCTGGGAACAAAGGGCAATACCCAAGTCATCCTCCCGCGTCTGACCGAGTCGTACTCTAGCTCGCAAGATCCGCCCGAGCAGTCCTTCCCGATGTGCACACTTCGCAGCTTTCCCAACAAGATCGAACACACCATCGCCTGGGCTCGAGACCTGTTCCAGTCATATTTTGTGGGACCACCGGAGACGGTCAATCTTTACATGTCACAGCCAGACTACATCAACACCACGCTCCGGCAGCAAGGCAACGAGAAGCTGATCCTGGATAGTCTGAAAGAATTCCTGGTTACCGACAAACCCAGTGATTTCAATGACTGCATTGCCTGGGCCCGGATGCAGTTCGAAAAGCAATACCACAATGCCATCGCGCAGCTTCTCTACAACTTTCCCAAGGACTCGAAAACGTCGACTGGGGCTGATTTCTGGTCAGGACCAAAACGTGCTCCCACGCCTCTCAACTTCGATCCCTCGGACGAGACACATATGGGATTTGTTGTGCACGGGGCAGCGCTACACGCCTACAACTATGGCATTCCCGTCCCCCAGCTCAAATACGAGGACTACGTCAAAGTTCTGGACAGCATGATCATACCCGAATTCAAGCCCGACGCAAACGTGAAGATCCAGACTGACGAGAAGGAGCCAGACCCCAACGGACCAGCACCGACTTTTGCAGATGATGCGGAAGAGCTGGACAAGATCATCGCCGAACTGCCCACTCCTAAGAGTCTGCCCGGCTTCCGACTCAATGTTGTGGAGTTTGAGAAGGACGACGACACCAATCATCACATCGACTTCATCACTGCCGCGAGCAATCTCCGAGCATTGAATTACAACATTCCAATTGCCGACCGTCACAAGACGAAGTTCATCGCTGGCAAGATTATTCCTGCTATCGCCACTACCACGGCCCTCGTTACTGGACTGGTGGTTCTGGAGCTATTCAAGGTCGTGGACGGCAAGACGGATCTCGAACAGTACAAGAACGGCTTCGTCAATCTTGCACTACCGTTCTTTGGATTTAGCGAACCCATTGCCAGTCCCAAGGGCACGTACCAGGGCAAGGAGGGCGAAGTGACCATTGACAAGCTCTGGGATCGCTTCGAGGTGGACGACATTACTCTGACCGACTTCTTGAAACATTTTGAGAATCTGGGGTTGAGTGTGACGATGGTGAGCTCTGGAGTTAGCTTGCTGTACGCCAGTTTCTACCCTCCCAGCAAGACCAAGGATCGGCTGCCTCTCAAGATGAGCAAGCTGCTCGAGACCATCAGCCGGAAACCAATCCCAGAACACCAGAAGAATATCATTTTTGAGATTACTGCCGAGGATACCACCGAAGAGGATGTTGAGATTCCGTATGTGATGGTCAAGTACAAGAAAGACTGAGGCGGCGTTTGGTAGCATTGGCGCAACTAGAAATCATGGCCGTGCTCGTGGGTGCAGCATCGGATAGACCTTGTTTCTCTCACCTCTGTATGATGACTAGGGGGAGATAGGTATCAGGTGGACATTGCATGGATCAGATCAGGAGATCAGGAGATCAGAAGATCAGAAATAGCCCAACACGAAGTATTTGACAAAGAGACTTTGCGCATGGTTGGATAAGAGTGCGCCATGGCCGTAAAGAGGAAGTCCCCAAGTCCCTATTGACGCAAGTTGCGCTTGCCGTCACCAAGTCTTACTGCATCTTTAGTCAGGATACATGATTTAGTCATCCACACCACAGGCCATGGCCTCCCACCCACGCCTCCCTCCTCGGGCCTCTCATCATGATGCTTGGATGCTTGTCTACGAAACGTGGTCAGTGCTAAATGCCCCTCTCGCGCTTCGCAAAAACCCCCACCACCACAAATTGTGTCATCGAAATGTCGGCGGCCGTTCCGCATGTGGTCCACGCCATGAATAACCTGCGCGTTGGGTGAACAAGTACAAAAGCTGCTGCTTGCTTCCTCTGCCAATTCAGTTGCTCCAACTCAATCAGTCCATGTCCAGTGTCCTTAGACGGGCTCGATTGCAGCTTGTACACTTGACCACGAAGTCGACCTCGTCCGCAACACCTTGGAAATCAGAATCCACCATGTCATCGGTACGGAGCAGCTCTCTCTTTGCAACCTCTATCCTCGTTCTTCTGATCTCTATCGTCGCGTTATACTACCTGGAGTTGGGGCTGAACATAGATTTCCTGTTACAGAACAAAGGAGGCATCACAGACTGGGTCAAGCCAGGCGACACGTCGGGCGAGTTCAAGAGACAGGTCTCGTCGTTTCGCAACTGGATCTCGAATGATCCGAATGCTGAGTTTCCCGCGGAGAAGGGGAGATACCATCTATATGTCAGCTATGCATGTCCTTGGGGTATGGGAGTCCCCTAGTGTGGATTGTTGAAAGAGAATGGCGTCGTTGACAAAGAACGGAACAGCACACCGGACGCTCATCGTGAGGAAATTGAAGGGATTGGAAGAGATCATTCCCTTTACCAGCGTTCATTGGCATATGGCCGAGAAAGGTACGTCTTGGATCCCTCGAGATAAGCTATGCGCGGGTAGTGAGTTGACTGCTTCCTCCAAGGCTGGCGCTTCGCAACACCCGACGAACAACTCCCGGGAGAAAACACTACACCAGATCCTCTACATCCTAACAATACTCACCTCCGCGACCTGTACTTTGCGGCGAACCCCAACTACGAAGGTCGCTTCACGGTTCCCACGCTCTGGGACAAAAAGAAACAGACCATCGTGAACAACGAATCCTCAGAGATCATTCGGATGTTTTACACCGCATTCGACGATATCCTCCCTGATGAGTACAAGAATGTGGTGCTTTACCCGGACAATCTCAAGGACAAGATCGAGGAGGTCAACAAGTGGACGTACGACGACATCAACAATGGCGTCTACAAGTCCGGGTTCGCAACCACCCAAGAAGCGTACGAACGCAACGTCCTCCAACTCTTCAAGTCGCTCGACCGCACCGAAGCCATCCTGGCCGAATCCTCGTCCCAAGGACCGTTCTATTTCGGCGCTCAACTCACCGAGGCCGATGTCCGGCTGTATACCACGATCGCCCGCTTCGACCCGGTCTACGTACAGCATTTCAAATGTAACATCAAGGACATCCGGAGCGGGTACCCGCACATCCATCGGTGGCTGCGGCATTTGTACTGGACCATTCCGGCGTTCGGGGAGACGACGCAATTCGAGCACATCAAGAAGCACTACACTAAGAGCCACAAGCAAATCAATCCGTTTGGCATCACTCCGGTGGGACCTGTGCCTGATATCTTGAAGGAAGATGAAGAGGTCAGTGCGGTGGTGAAGAAGTAGCGGAAACTGTGTCGGTGGGGATCAGGCAGCAAGGGAGACAATGTGCTGGGCCTGGCGCGAAGCTAATGTTTTGTTGAATACCCTGAGTGATCTGTTGGACAAGATTGTTTGGGATGAGTGAAAAATATCTCATTCGACACTTGAGGCTTATCCTGTCTGTAACAACCAATTTATCTGGGCCAACAAGGAGTTTGTCTGGTTGGTTATTCTTTGTGAATCGAGAAGCTACCTACAATGCAGCCACCGCCTTGATCACCGTCCCTCGTTGATATGTCGCCGCATCGATGGACACTTAGACGCTGTATACTGTGCCCTCTACTGTGCAGCCTCTAGCCTATCCACTGTAGATACAGTATACCGATAAATAGACAATCATAATATCGTAACATAGCGTGTGGTATCAAATCATGTCGCATCCATCGTGTCGCGTCTCTCGCTGTGTGTATCCCTCTCATATTCCATCCCAAAAAAACACCGCCTGTGATAATACAGTAAACCGAACCAATACCTTTCCCCGGAAAAAATCCTCATCCCATCGTCCCACATACATATCGTCATATCCAAACATGTTCCCATAATGTCGTCAACGGTCGAGTTCAAAATCAAGAGGCTCCTCTTTGCCTTGCCTTGCCTCTGCCTTCCCTCCTCTCCTCTCCACTGTCCCCGTAATTGTCGGGTTTCTTCAATGACAAAACCTCAAATGACCTGGCTTCCTGTTGTCAGTGGTGCTCTCATTTCACTCCTACTTCACTCTTCCGTTCTTCTGGAGGCGATGATTCACACGGCGACGCGGTGTGTTACTGTCAAACTGTCGTTTCGGATGACTGGTGGTTTGCCGTCTCTGTGGCTCCGTCGTCGTTCAGTTCAAGTGGTCGTCTTCGCCGGGGTCGATCGGTCGCTTTGGGGAGTTTGCTGTCGTATCCACGGGTTTGAGGCGTGACCATATGCGCTTATCGGTGGTTCGGTTGGATAGTGTGTCGGTCGGTTTGTCGTTCATTGTAATTGTCAGGTTGGTCTGTTGATTTATTTGCAAGGCCGGTGGTCAAATCGGGCTTGTGTGCCCCGACACCCCCCATACCTCTCAGCTGTTGACATGCTAGAGACTAAGTCTCTGCTGGGTATACTGTCGTGGTATAGATCTGTTCCTCAGTCTCTATATAGGTGTTTTTCGGTTCTTGTAGTAGGTGCATCTCAATAGAGACAGGGTGCCGCTTTGATTTCGTCCATGTCTCAGGGCCTTTTTTGGCCTTTTCGGCCATGACCCCGTCGAGCTTGTGCTCGCTGAATCCTCTTCTCGTTGAGCTCTCTGTTCGCCAGGTAGGTCGGCTCGGCTATGGCTCGTTGAAAGCTGACTGCCCACTCGCTGGCATAGCCCACACGCACCTCCTTGCCGTCGTCAGAAGGCGTTAAAGCTGGTGGGGATGGACGGCGATGTCCTGCTTGGACCAAGACCGTTATGTTGGGCATATCGGTGCCCGTCGACAGTGTAGATTTCGGTGATTCTGGACTTGGGAGCTGTACCGGTTCAGGCTGTTGTTCGTCGACTGGACAGGACATGGCACCCTTTGCTTCGAGTAGCTCTTGCACAAAAGGCAGGCGACCCGCTTTGTTCTTGAACGTCATGAGGACGACGGCCGTCTCCATCCTCTCCAGGATTCCCATGCCACTGACAGATCTGAAAGATGGAGCAAGATCTCCAATGAGCAAACGTTCGTACATTTCCCAGCATTCTTGGTCGAGAAGGGCGCGCACAACCTGTGGGTCCACCATAACTTCGTCCTCTTCGCCACCACTCTCTAGCAAGGGCATGAGAAGGAGACCCTTGGCCTGGGCATAAGGCTTGTTGCCTGGACAGTTTAACTGGGGCATGCCTCTGAAGGTAAAATGTTCCCAGGACATGCCCAACTCGGGTTTCTTCTCGTCGCCGAAGAAATACGGCTCCTTGTGCATGGCGTGACATAGAGGGAGATCGCCGAGGCGGGCGATCTCCATTCTCCGGAGAGTGTACCAGACATGGACCAGCTCGTGCACCAGGGTGATGGCCAGGCTGACTAACACCATGTTCTTGACGTCAGTTGTGAATGTGTCGTAGTGGTAGTGGGTGAAGAAGGTTGTGAATTTCGTATTGAGCTGCACGGCTGTGGTTGGCATTTGTGGTGCGTGATCCTTGGGGTATGTGCCGAAATATGTCGAGGCGTATGTGTCTTCCCGGGTGTTATGGTGATAGCCGGTGAAGAACTGCATGTTGTGGAGGTTGTCCATCATGTCCGGGAACATTCGTGGTCGATGCTCTGGTTCGGTGAAACGATCATATCTGATCTTCGGGTCCTCATATATAAATTCCCCAAACATAAGAATGTTGAAGAATTCAGACGTCCAGATGCAGAACCGTGTCGCTAGCACAAGCGCAGGTCGTATTCGGGTGTAGAATTCGTCGTCGATGGTGTATTTGGGGTCAAGCCAGGTATCAATGGGGCTGTCAAGCCCCCTGATGATGTCGAGGCGGCTGAAGTTAGACTTCTTGAAGATGGCGCAAATGCGGCCTTCGGACTGTGGAGGTTGAGGCGTCTTACACATGTCTTCATGTCTCGGAGAAAAGACCTGTCTCCAGGCTTTTCGACCTGGATTTAGGAAGAACTGTCGATCTGACTGTGTTGAGGCCATTTTGGTGACGGGTTCCTGGGTCATGCACATATCGCCCGTTAGACTGCTCTTCGGGGACACCTGAAGCTCTATTGATCGCTGTGCTGCTCTTGTTGATCAGTGTGGACGTTTCTATGCAATAGTAGACAAGGTGAGATGCGCGATGTGGCTGTTGCTGTGAGAGGAAGGATTTTGAGCGCCACGAGGATCGTCGAGAGTCAGGAGGACAGTTGTCACTCCAACGCCACACGGAAAGGTGATTGAGTCAAGGCAGTAGTCGCTGTTTGATTGAGTGCGTGACTGTGCGAGGTGACAGCAGGTAGGTGATAGCTGACGGATAGACTTCTTGTGACAAGGCAAATTTCGAGCATGGTGAGCAAAATATACGTATATATATGTGGCAGCGCACGCACCAGAAGGAAAACCCCACGGGCATTGTTCATTGTTTCGAGGGGCGTCCGATGGAGGATTTGGATGCTTCTGTCCCATATACATCACCATGTCCTGATTGGGTACCAAAGATAATAACCTTCTCAATGTTCACGCAACCGAAGTTTATGTGGTAGATCATAGAGGTGGCTCCGGCAGGGCCCGTGAATCCATCATACAGTCCGGGGCTGGTGTGAACTTTCAGAAGCAGCGTGGCTGGTCTGCAAGGCTTGGTGCCTGGCGTGTTTCATGTTAGATGTATGATTTTCCCAACACGTGTGGGTTCTGTCACAATATGTCCATGACTTGAGGGATTCTGATCTGTGCGTAGCATAGGCTGCCAGTTTGGACTCTGTGCACAGGGCTTCCCTCATCTTAACGCACGGCGGTGAATGTCCCATGTTGATTTTTCTTGGGCCAAAATAGTGAGACTGTGGCCTCATAGCAAAACCGTCGACGAGCCGACGAGAAGGAAAACAAGGTCAGAACCGTATGTAGAGAATTTGCATCCAAAGGTGTCTTTATTGAAGCAAGAAGAGACGACCTGCGTTTTCTCTGCATCAGAAAAGCAGGCCGAGTTGGGTAAGGTGATCAAGGTATCGGAGCATCTCATGGAGAGCCTGAACGCAGTTGCGTATCGTCGCAGACATTGTGCGGTCCGAAGAACGTAGAATGGTGTAAGAGAAGAAGAAAGAGGGCGCAAAGAGATTGCCCAAAATATATAATCAACGTCGCCCTGTGGATTCCAGCAGCAAACCAAGGACCGGGATACAAGGTTTGTGGTGTCCCTTGGACAATCCAAGCTTGGTTCCACGGTGTAAGCCTGTGTCTGACCTTTATCCTCCTGATGGCTCTCGACGTTGGTTTTACAAGCGAATCTCTTCCTCAACAACAGATGCAATCTCGTCAAGGCTGTCCGCTGTCGTGGCTTGCCTGGTCAGTCCCGGTCTCGTTGCCCCTTTTGGTCGCAGGTCTCGCTTTGATATTTTTCCATTCAACCCCAGAAGCAAGGATAAACGCCACGATAGCCGATGCCAGTGAGGCATACTATCCAATTCTATGTTAGCCTGACGACCTGCTCGTGGAGGAGATGATGTTGCTTTCTGATGTGGTTGTGAAACTTACAAAGACATTCGTGATTGCTTTGTTGTATGCCCAAAGCACAGGCTCCAACTTCTCCGGGAACGAGTCTAATGTGGCCTTGCGAGCGTGGCCAGACCCTGCATCCAATAATAGCTGTACCTGTTCGCCGTTGAGACCTGCACGACTCTTGAGCGACGTGACAAGTTTGTTTTGGAAAATCGCCAGAGCAATGCTTTGAAAAACAGAAGCTCCGAAGTATTGGAAGAATGCTACTGTTGATATGCCGATGGGTATTTGTTGAGGTTGTGATGCCAGGGCGGCTTGCACAGCGAGGAGTGGCGACTGCATGCCTCCTCCGCCCACACCCTGTAAGACCAGGTATGTGATCCATTTTGCGTGAGGCGTTGAAGTGGTGAGAGTAGTGTAAAGGCCTGATGCGATAGCCATAAAGCCGACACCGACAAAAAACCAGGGGTTGTAGAAGCCAGTACGATTGACTGGACAAAGTCAGCTCTACTGGCCTGGTCAAGACAAAGGAGATGGGATGAACTCACTGATTAATCCTGCGACTGTAGCAGCAACAATTTGAGAACAAACCAACGGGAGCGTCATGACACCGCTATGGAGTGCACTAGCTCCCTTGATCACTTGGAACCATTCTGGCAGGTAGTAGACGTTGATAATGTAGGCCCCAAACATGAAGACGCTGAAAAGGCAACTCAGCAGGATTGAACGCCGGAACACGATCGAGAACGGGATCATGGCCTTGTCGCCTTGCCGATGTTCCCAGACAAGGAAGAGCGTAGCAGATCCAGCAGAGCCACATAGGAGTCCTATCACAGTGGCAGACTTCCAAGAATATTGGTGGCCGCCCCACTGCAGCGCCAGAAGAGCCATGACAATAGTTGGGACGAATATCGCACACCCGACGACGTCAATCTGCCGTAGCCTCTCCCGCAAAGGTGCTGCATCTGAAGTTCGTGTGGGAGGCTCGAAGAACAGAGCCAACGCAAGCAGTGTGACCGCCCCAGCAGGAAGATTTATGTAGAAGCACCATCTCCATGATACTGATGTCGTCAAGGCCCCTCCAATGATAGGACCTGTGATTGTGGAAACTCCAAACAGGGAAGAGAGGACGGCTGTGTAGAGTGCACGTTTGGAGAGAGGAGTTACAATAGCGAGGATGGACAACCCGCCAGAGAATATCCCTGCTCCTCCGATTCCAGCAACAGCTCGGCCGAGGATGAACATGTTGGAGCTGACTGCCGCACCGCAGAGGAGGGAGCCCAGAAGGAAGATGCCGACAAAGGTGAAGAAGGTCCACTTGAGAGAAAAGTTGGCGTACAGCTTTCCAGAGAGAGGTTGCAACGAGCAGAGGCATAGAGGGTAAGCTGCCGCGTACCAACCGATATCTGTGGTAGCGTTGAACTGCACCGTGATGGCGGGAATAGCCTGCACCACGATGTTAGTGATGAGAGAATTGGCAGATTAATGGGGGTGTACGACATACTGTAGATATGACGGCGATGTCCAGCGCAAACAGGTAGATGGCAAGACCAAGGCCACCGAGGACGAGGTAAAGCTTTGAGCCAGTCAGGTGGTGAGCATCTTCCGACTCTGCAACCAGATCAGCGTTCTGGGGTGTTGTGATGGTGTCGACATTCTCTGTGACTGGTATTGACACCGCAGTGGCCTGCTCTGGTTTCTCTGGTGGGAGCATATCGTAACCTGTGTAGCTCGTTGTGGTGGTGAAGAGGTCTTGAGAGAAGCCACTGCCGCAAGGTCAGGATCAGAGAGTTGTTTTGGAAGTGAGAATATTCGGCGCCACTTCGAAAAGAAATAGAAGTGAGGCTTCGAGGTCCAGATGTCTAGATATAGGAGGGTTGCGGTGCCCCTGGTTGCGGACATCGTGAGCATCACACAGGCACCAATCTCGGATCAGAGTGGTGTCAACAGGGACGAAAGAGGAAGTTAGCGCCATCTCCTTTCCAGAGATCAACATGACGGACACAAATTTGACGTTCTAGTAGAGAATGTGTGAGGAATAAGGCGGACAAGGAATGAAGAGGCACCGTTGTGTTGATAGAGAGCGGACATGGAACGGCAACGGAGAACAATCGGTCCGTTCTGAGTGGCCTCTGATTGGCTGTCTCTGGAACAAACCATCACGTGATAATACAGTCTGCTCAGATTTCCTGAGGAGCGGAAATTCAAAGTCCGTTCCCGCTCCTCACCTGCGAAATGTATTTCTCCCTCAAGATTCCCGTCCCCGTTCACCTCAGACGGGGCTCTTACAGAAGACGACGGCAATGAATGGAGTCGGCATCTCTCTATTAAAGCGTAAGGCCTGCGTGCAATGCGCAAAGGCTAAAGCGAAGTGTTCCTTCACCAATGGGCTGCACGCTTGCGACCGATGTCGAAGGCTGAGGCGGGATTGTCTCCACGAAGAAGCGCCCCGTCGCCAGAAGGAGAAGCAGTCCACGTACGTCACGACCTGTATTGCGCGAGGCTGATCTAACGGAGCGGTAGGAGAATCAAAGCCCTCGAAGAAAAGGTCAGCAGCCTTCTCACACTGCTCACCCAAGACAAGCAGGCTTTGGGAAACACGAATGCTCCAGTCACAATAGCCACACCACCCCATACCGAGGAAGGGACCAGTGATAATGTGTCGTCCGCCTCGATCGGAAATGTGCAGAACGTCGAGGCCCCCGCCACATCGACTGCGGAAGAGACCGGGCAATTCGATGTTATTGACAGTGGTGTCTTGACAATGGCCACAGCCGATATCCTCGTCCAGACTTACAAGCAAGTTCACTCCAAGTTCTTCCCTTTTGTCCTCGTCGCTCCGGAAATCGATGCTGCTACTTTACGGAGAGACAAGCCAGTGCTCTTCCTGGCCATAGTGACGGTGTGTCTCGAAGCAGACCACCTTGTTCAAAGACGGCTTGGGGTTGAACTGAAGAAAATGCTCTCTTCACGATTGCTGATTAGGAACGAGAGGAGTATCGAACTCCTGCAAGCACTGCTCGTGCACCTCGGCTGGATCCAATACCACTTCCATCCCCAGAACAAGCAAACCTATATGCTTCTCCAGATGGCGATCGGCCTTGTCATGGACCTTGACCTTGACCGGTGTCCTGCGCACCGTGATCAGAGAGTGGGGAGTAATTTCTGTAGGATGCATGCGGAGGACAACTTGCCAACACAATGCCAGAGGACGACAGCTGAAACCCGAGCCCTGCTGGGCTGCTTCTATCTTTGTTCTTCGTGAGTACGTCTCTCCCCCCAGTTGAGCTCGATCTGATCCAGTCCAAGGCTGGCAATGACGCGGAAAGAACTGCTCATGAGTCATACTCGCTGGATCGATCACTGCTGCGACGTTCTTCAAGTCGAGCAAGAGGCAGCCACCGACATAGATGCAACGGCGTTTGTCAGAACCAAATGCCTAGCACAACGGATTAGCGAGAGATTCTCGTATGGCGACCATGCTTCCATTCAATCTCAGAGCGATGTTGTGATAGAGATGTCACTGAACGGCTTCAAGAAGGAAATTGCAGATCTGGAAGCGAATCCTGCATTCTCACCTGCACGGGAAAACTGTGAGTGGTTTAAAGACTTGCACTCGATAACGTCTGCCCTAATCCGACCCCTTGATATTGACGGAAGAAATCTACTAACAAATGCCTGTGGCCTCTCGGAAAATAGATATATTGATGGCAGAACTGAAAGTATTGTCCATCACAATGTACGAGGTGGCACTCTACCGCGACCTGAGCAGCAGCACGACATCGCCCTCGATGAACAAGGTCTCCCAACTCTGGAACCTCTTGGCCTCGACCCGAGCCTTTGTGGACTACTTCCTCAGCGTGCCTGAAGACGCGCTGAGACACCTGCCTGCGGCCTTCTTCTCCTTTGCGGCGTACGCGCTGATCGTGCTGTCGACGGTGTCACGCCTACCTTCGACCAGTGGGTGGGACAGCGCGATCGCCAAGCGCGAGGCCGACGTCCTGAACCTGGCGCGGCGCGTCAAGGTCAAATTCGGCGACGAGCTCACCCGCACGGGTAACAGTGTGGGCACGGACCACAGGGATGTGTGGGCTTTTTTCGCACGCGGCATGGGCGGGCTGATTGCTTGGCACGAGCGGTGCGAGAAGGAGAGTCAAGGATCAGCGGCGGTGGCAGCAGCAACAGCAGCAGGAGGGGCCGGAGGGGGAGAAGGCGAAGAACCCGAATACGAGCTCCGAATCAGCAGACCCGACCATACCTTGACGGCGAGGTGCGCGATGGCCGACGTGATGACCCCGTTCAACACGCTACGGTTCCTCAAGCCCGACGCCGGACCGAATAGAATAACCCCAGATAATGAGATCGGGACGCAGCCGACGCCGCAGGGACATCACACCATGACTGACCCAGGCATTAACACCGGCACCGGCGCTGACCACGATGTAAATGCGCACACTGCTGCTGATCTCGGTCCCAGCAACGACACGATGGACGGCCTCTGGGACGACGAGGTGTGGCAGTCCATCATGGACGAGTTTTCCATGTTCCCGACCACCACGGGCTTTCCCGCCGGATCCAGTGTGTCTCATCAGGTCGAGAGACTGCGGAGGTGAGCTGCCCTGGGCAGCCTCTCCTCCATCCAGCTGGTGTTGGGTTGAGAAGAAGATGCGGCAGACAGTAGGCGGTAGGCGGTAAGCGGTGGACGCTGGACACCGTACCGAAGAATATGGGGTCCCCCCCCCCAAATACCTATCTGTCTTCCTCTTCACACGTCTCAGCTTCAAAGGGTAGTTGGATATTAGAGCCGTACTTGTACTTGTCCTTGTTCTTGTGCCCGTTTTCTCAACGACCCTACGCAGCGGCGTAATATGTATCAATCTGTCAGAAAAAGGATACCAAAATATAATTGTATCACTAGCCAAAGAATCTCTAGGTTGTCTCTGTTTCTAAGATTCATCGTGCCCACCTTCCTTCCCTCCCTCCCTCCCTCACTGCCTGCCTAACTGTCTGCGTGCATCACATCAGACCACATCACAGAGGCACAATCCTATAATTGTTCCCCCGACGCTGCTCCGACGAGGCGGAGGCGTCGCCGGCGACCGTATACCTGACGACGCGCTGGCCGGCGACCTTGACAATATCGTCGGCAAGACCGCTGCGCGGATGCGCCGGGGCGAAGGCGGGGGCCTGGAACGCGTTGGCGACCTCGATCGGGTTCAGGGTGACCTTGCGCCCGAGTTCCCAGAAGCCCCAGTACGAGGGCAGCACGAGGAGCACGCAGATGAGGGTCGAGGCCAGGGCGCCAAACATCCACGGGTACCGCGTGCGGTAGTACACCTCGGCTTTGCGCTGGGTGGCCTCAACGAGGACTCTGCTCGAGTTCGACCATGCGTCCCATGACACGTCCGTGTCGGTGTAGCCCGGGCGGTTCCACAGGTCTTGCGCGGTCAGGAAGGTCAGCGTGTTCAGGCCGATCATGAGGTCGGTCATCGGGTCGGGGTAGGAGAAAGGGCACCCCTCCGAAGCGTCGTCGACTTCTTTGGTGCCGGAAAACTGTCCCGTGCTGGACAGAGACCAGGGGCTATTTCTCGTGTCGTTGCTGGTAATCAGTGTCGCGGTGCTCTTGTAGCGATCTGACAAGGCGCGAGCGATCCCGCCAGTGCGAGTCTTCGCCAGGCTCGTAGGGTCCCACGCCGTAGCATTCGAAATCCACCACTGGAAGTCAAATTCGGGGATTTGGCCTTTGTCATAGTCAAAATAATCTGTGGCAGCAACCAAGGTTCCATAAATGGGGTCGATGCGACCAAAATAAACCGTCGTTTGTGCGTTGGTGTCGTTCGTTTGGGTCGTGGTGCTGTTGGCAAACTCCAGGTAGATTGGATAGCTCAGCATCGCCTCCCGTAGCTCGCATTGTTTTGTCTTTATCGTGGCAGGACATTGCTGTTTCGTGTCCGATGCGTTGGGGTACTCGGCGTCGTAATATGTCAAGTTCAGACCGATCCAAGTATAGTTCTTCGCAGCCGTTGGGAATGTGGTGTTGAAACTGACGCTGAAGACTGTGGTCTCGGTGTTGATATAAGTCTTGTTGGGACCCGCATGTGCCTCAGCATCGCGAATCAGATCAACGGCTCGTTTATGAGCATGGTCATTTTCACACTTGGCGATGTATCCCGGGGCAAGGACTGTGAGATTGCAAATACCCTCGCATTCAGTGAATCCACTTGGCTGGTAGGGTTGGGCATAGGCAGAGCTGGCCCAGCTCATGACATCGATGGTGAATTCGTAGAGCAACAGGTCTGTATCATTGGCGGCTTTGTTCAGCTGGCCGGTGAGCGGAAGCTGTGGCGTGGGAAAGGTGGTGATGTTGACCGGGTGGGGAGATCCTAGTGTGATGTATGTGCTTGTGGACCGTTGAAAGAGGATGCCGTCGATGATGGTGAGCTTGGTGACGAGGGCCGCCAGGGCCGCAATGTTGAAATATTTGACGTTCAACACGACTGATGCAATACTGCTCCCAAAGGCCCACGTATTGTGAAGGTCGGCGATCGTCGCACCTTTCATCGCTCGCCTCCACCACGACACGGCAATGCCCTGTGCCACCGCAATGGCGATGCAGACACTGGCCCCGCTGTTGCATACCGATAGTATGACGTTGGGGGCCATCTTCTGGGGCCATGACGAGAGAGGTTTATCGTTTGATTCCTTCAAAACCACAATTGCAACCGTCGAGAATGCCACAACCATGAGGAGGCATCCGAAACCCACCCAGGGAAAGCGTTTCCAGAACCCCGGCTGCCATTGTTCATCGAGCGTGAAATCTGTAGTTGGTCGCCGTCCATCACGGCTACTCAGCGAAGGATCGACTTCGACGATGGAGACTCCAATGGGGGGTTGAACCTCGTTCTTGTTGTCGACCGGAGATGTTGAAGACGACATGGTGTCTCAATAACCTAGGTCTTGGTCCGATTGACTTTGCGACGCGAGCAGAAAAGAAGCTTCGACAAGCTTCCGGGGGAGGTATCCATGGTTTGATATGTGAAGAGCGAGGCGAAGGCGAGGCGAATCGATGCCCCCCTGATCCTGTCCATTCGACTACTTTCCACCTCTTGCTGAACAGCCAGCCTTCACTCACGCTGGCTTCCTCAAACAGGAGCGCGGCAGCAAGCGTAGCTGTAGACCACCACATATGTGTTCTGGCCAGACTGATTTGACCGGACTGCCAATCAAGCGTGGTAAGAGGAGAGAGGCGCTCATTTTGGGCAGCTGTGAACAACCCTTGTGTGGGTGGAGAGGGTCAAATGGTTTCTGGGAATGGCGTGCGAGCAGATGAGAAGACGAGCGGGTTTCGACCGGTGGCTGCCATGAGGCCCAGGTGTTCGAGACAGAAGTATCGAGAACCTTGTACTGGCCTGACTGGTACAATGTGTTTGTGCTGTTGGCTGAAAAGGAGAGAGAGTGTGTGTTTGTCGATGCGTTATTATTGGCGCCGTGGCACTTTGTCCTTCAGGTGAGTCTCAGCCACAAGAACACCAACACTCCACATTCAATCAATCCATAATACCGAGTAGGTACTTGTCTGTACCGAGTACCCAGTACCCTGTACTTCGCTCACACATGTTTGGAAGCGAGACTCGTGGCTTCACCTGGTGCCACATGGTACTACTGCATGTTAGAGGCGTCCACAAACAACTGGTTCAATTTCCGTCAACGCCACGCCCGCAGATGGTCTCGGCCTCACCGCAGTGGCGTCTATCACTCCCTTTACTACTCACTCACTCACTCACTCACTCAACTCACACGACTGTCCTGGTATCGTGCCGCTTCTTCCGCGCACTATCACTATTGGTAGCTCATCCAAAAGAACTCTGTTCCAAAAGAAACACTTGCAGGTGAGGTCTTGTGCCATGTCTATCTGTCCTGCCCATTGAACTCCACCAAATGTCTAACAATCTCAAAAATCCCATGATGATCCTCGGCGCCGTCGCCTGCGAGGTGGCGAGGAGTATCGATCCTCTTTCTCAACTCATCATCCAACAGTGCTCGTAGCCGCGAAGCCAGAACACCGATCCTAGCCCACCCTCTCAGCTTCACCCACCCATCCACAACGACTCCTCGCCCCAGTGTATCGACCTCGATGGGCCCGCCAAACAACAACAGTCCGTAGGGGTTGAGAGGCGTCAAATCCCGGATGAAGGTCTTGCTCGTCGCCATCTTGGTGAAATAGCTCACAAAGCTTGCGTTGCCAGAGAACCCCTGGGCGTCGAAGAGGACACTGCTGGGGTGCACAAATACCCTTCCGTTTTCCTCGTTGAAGTACTTGATTGTTTTGGCGTCCGGGTCGAGTTCTTTGGCCCCGCTCATAGACGCAATGTATTTCTTGTCCGGCATTTGAATGCGTGCAATCTGAGGGTTTAGAGCACCGGCGATTATGGCCCGTTGGAGCATGTTGTTGCTCTTCTGTCGGTTGTAGAGGGATAGGTCACTGTTGTAATTGGCAGGCAACAGGCTGGCTTCAATCAAGGAATCAAGAAGCTGCCGTCGAGTCGAGTCAATGTCGCGGAGGGTCTGAGGAGACAAGAATCTTGAAGAACACCACTGCTGCACATCTTTGTATCGCGATGTCGCAGACACCTCTTTCCACAGCTCATATGCTCGACAGTCGACAACGATGTCGCCGTCCGAGGCATTCATGGACAGTCTTGCTTCCTTCGCCTCATCTCTTTTCTCGCGCGGTGAGACAAACGGACTCTTGGTCGCCAAGATGGCAGCAATCGTCAGACAGGATTCCACACAGTCGAATAGGACACCGTAAACGAGCAGTTTCGCACAGCGAAGGTCAGCGGGTATCATTGCCAGGTAGGTCCCGAGACCTGTCAAGCGATCATTCTCCAAAGCACCCATCCGCTGCAAGGTCTTCAGAGCGGTAACAACAGCGCGACTGTCTGGCGGCGTGATGGTGCTTGCCAGGAATTCCTCCACATTGCGAACTGAACCAGTCGCTTTGACCGAAAGACATAGCTGCTCCAAGGGTGTCCGGAGCATTTCTGGGGCGGGAGACTCCGCCATGTTGGCTTCTACATTCCTCGTAAAGAGTTTGTAGCAATTCCCCGCTCGAACTCGACCAGCTCGGCCACGACGCTGCTTGCAGGCTGCTCGCGAAGCCCAGACCTCTTCCAGACGCACGATATTGGTGACAGGGTCGTAGTTCGTCTCCTTGACTTTGCCCGAGTCGACCACGGCCACAATGTCTTCAATGGTGATTGATGTCTCGGCAACATTCGTGGCAACAACCACTTTTCGTTTACCTGCTGGCGGTTGTCTGAACACGAGACGCTGTTCGGCAGGTGTGAGAGAAGCATGGAGCGGTAGGCCATGAATACCGGGTATGCTAGCTAGGGTCCTAAGACATCGGTCGATTTCTAGCGTGCCGGGCATAAAAATGAGAATCCCTCCACTGGAACTACCCAGCTGCATGTCAATATGTCGCACAAGGGAAGCGATTAGCTGGTAATTGATTCCAATCCCGAGATTCTGTATCGCCTTGCCCACTGGGGGGTCATCGTCTGACTCTGGCTGAAATTCTCTTTTCTCGTTTCCCACGAGCCGGACAACGTCGTCCAAGTAATAGTCCTGGACCGGGTATGTACGACCTTCGACGTGGATTCTGCCAACTCTGTCGACGCCAAAGTAGTCGACGAACGTATCGGCATTCAGTGTCGCACTCATCAGGACGATCTTCAAAAGGGGCAAGGATGGCAGGGCCTCGCGCAGCAAGGCCAACAAAAAATCGGTATCCAGCGACCGCTCATGGACTTCATCAATGAAAATGTGGCTGATATTTGCCAGAGCTGATTTGATGTTGGACGACGTCTGTAGGCGTCGAAGGAGCACGCCCGTGGTTTGGAATGTGATTTTCGTTTTGGACGAGATCTTCGACTCTCCCCTGATGATATATCCCACTTCCTGGCCTTCTTTGTCACATCGCTCTGCACTAACACGCTCGGACAATGACAGAGCAGCGACCCGCCTGGGTTGCGTGCAGATGATGTTGACCGAAGAGCCTCGCATTGCTTCGATTGCGCCGTCCAGCACAAACTGGACCGCCTGGGTGCTTTTCCCGGAGCCGGTTTCTCCCGTGATCAGAGTCACTTGCGATTGTCCAACCACATTAATAACTTCATCTTTTTTGGTCCATGCGGGTAGACGTTGCCGGACTGAGTTCATTGTCCGTTGAGCTTCCAAGCTCTGTCGCGTTTTCCAAGCATCGAATATTGCTTCGCTGGTTCGATTATCCTTCGTGTATGCCTTTCCCCTCGGTCTTGATGGGATAGAATATTCGTCCGTTACATTCTGCGTCGCTGCAAACATTCCTCCCATGGGAACGGAGGTCATCTCCAAGTCACTCAATTTTCCAGGATTGTCGATGATATTTGGCATTGAGCTCTCTAGCCATTCCAATAAACTGAATATCATCGGATCCTCAAGGAGATGTTCCTGAGCATATTTGCATGCTCTCTTGGTTGCGCTCAGGCGAATGTAACTCGGTATTCCGGGTGCTTCAATTGAGATAATGGGTAATCTGCTTGGATAACCGGACGTCGGACGACGAAAGTGAAATGTGGCAGAGATCTTTGAATTGGGATCCGCCTGGATAGAGCATCTGTAATGACCAGAGAGCTTGAACCTTTCCGCAAGTATGGCGTCGAGAGCAGTCATTTCCTCATCCCAGACGTCCACACTGCCTTCTGCGTCCACAATCAGGTCGACCTCGGACGGCAGGAGTCGTGATTGTAGGGCTTCCGCCGCTAGAGCCTCATCGCCGTCATTATCGCGTAGGACTTGAAGACATAGCTGGCTAGGATAGCCTCCTTGACTCAGCCGCTTTATCTTGGCTTCAGTCGCTAGGTCGCTGCTAACGAGAGTAATGCCAGCATTATAACCAGGTGGGAAGCTCCATGCAGGCAGGCAATCTTCAGGAACGTGGATTAGCAGCCACTCCAACACTTCCTCCCGTGTGCCGCAGTTTTCGAGCGCTTCTTGGATGTGGGAGGGTTGAAAGCCAGACCGAGACAGATCGGACACAATTAAGTCCTTGTCCATTTTGGAAATCTCAAGCCTGTTTGGGTTCCAGATGCTTCGGGACCTGATGATTGCCTCGGTCCGTGTGCGAGCCTCTTGGCCTAGCTCAAGTCGCGACGCTCGATCCCATGCTTTCGATGTAATATTATCCGGTGCTGAGCCAGTCAAACCTGACGATGCAGTCTTGGGGGGTTGCCGTGCCTCTTGCTCCTTTCGCTTCTCCAGGGCAGCTTTGATCTCCTGTCCCTTGAGTTCGGCGGCGAAGGGGTCCGCATCATATTTCCATGCCCTACCATCCTTGACATCTTCCTCTTTAAGACGTTGAAAGTCACCTTTCCATAGATCTCGGTAGGTAGGAGGTAATGCCATCGCCAAATTCTTCATACTGGACACACGGAACAAGGCATAAGCAGCTGCGAAATGACGAGCTTCCAGCGCTGTCGGCTGATCTGCGAGTTGGGCATGTGATGGGGGAAGATGAAATGGGGGAAGTTTCGTGACAGATCCCGTCTTCGGGTCCGTCCTCGACAGAACAACCCATGACCGGTGAAGTTTATCTCCGCCGTTTGCTGCTGGAACTTGACGGCCCTGATACTCCGGCTTATTCCATTTTTCTCGCTGGCAGTGCTCTGATAGCAGGTTGACTGGTAACTTGCCAGTCCATGAAGCACCTCCAATAATCTTTTTCACATCAACCCGTGGTGGAGCTCCGTCGGGCTCTTTCTGTTCCTGCTTCCTTTTGTCATTTTTGTCCTTAGTGAAAACTATATGATCGCTGTCTGGGACTGCAAGTGTGGTCTTTTTGGAGGCGTTACTTTTGCCAGAGGCAGAGCCTTTTTTAGGTGCCATATGTGTTCCAAGATGAGAAATGCGAAAGCTTCCCACAGCGCTTCAACTTGAAGACTCAATACCTTACGGCATGTGCCAGAAGCTGACTCCGACAGCGCCTACCATCAGCACAACTTCAGCGAGACTTCAGCAAGCGTAAATGCCTTGCTGCACAGCAGTGCCAAGAATTGGGAGACTTAGAGCAAGTAGTGACACAACGCACTTTGCATAATGGAAGTTCATCTTTGGCCGTACCTCTAATGAAGATCTGTAATCAACAGCGCAGTCTCAGGGCAAAATGTTCCCGATGGCAAACAAGGCGAAAATTATGTCCGGTGTCGGAAGACTTGCCTGTTACGGTTGCCAAGGCAAGATCTTTATCAGGCTGGCATTCAGCCTTGTCGAACGGGGACTCCTCCCCCCTTTTCAGCAGCCTCGCGCCGAATCCGGAAATTGGCACCATAGGTACCAACCAATATCTCGAAAGGATTGGTTCACAATCAGGGCGCACAATCGTTGGATGAGCACAGTTGTTATGATCGCAATCAATCAAGGTAGTGTGTGTATTATCTGACTGGGAGCATGAGTTCATTGCCTGCTGATTATTGATCCCACTCTATCACGCCGAGCAACACCGTGCTATCTCTAACAGTGTGGCTCCGCCACGTCGCTCTCCAAAGCCGGTCACAAGCTTCGAAGGACAACGATGATGATGCCCATGAATCATTCCAATAATCCTACAGAAGACCGAGAGAAATTTCTCTCCAGCACCCTCACTCTCTCGGTCCCTCTGCCGTGAATGCCAATTACTTTGTCATAAATTCGTGTTTTCTCGTCAATGATTCCCATCGAATATTGAGAAGCTCTAAACCCAGCAGAAGTGAATATCGTCAACCAATCCTGAGTCCGTTTCGACTGGATGGCGCGAAGCTCCCGCAGCTGAGAGTTTACGATGTGCATGATTCTCATCTCGGAGATGTCGAAAAGTTGCCCCTTCTAATAGTCGAGTGCTTGCCTCCGAAACAAGGTGATTTAAATTAAGAATTGTTTGAATGGTGAGTTTCTCACATGCGAAGGTAAGGAACGCTGTCGTAAAATGAAAGCATCGTTGACTGAAGGATAGATGTTGGTGCGACGGGCTCTGGCAATTCGAACCCTCTCTGGATCTCAGTCTCAACGAATGCCGATGCTCTCTTGTAGCGTTTGTCGCAATACTTATTGAACACTGCGTTGTGATGTTTTCGTGGATCTTCACAGCATTCCAGAAGTAAGTTGATCAATGGTTTGAGTTGGGTGTAAGTGTACCCGGAATAGTAGACATGATGAGCGGTCTAGGTGCGTTAGTAAGTGAGCCTTCTCCAGTTGAGCTGGTGACTTACCCATGTGCCTTTCCGGAGCATAACGCGTGCGAGACAATGCGATGCCGCCGCTGTAAAACTCGGGGGGCTGCCAATGAACCGCTCGTCCATCATGGTCACTTCAAGGAAATATTTAGCCAAGGTCCTCGTCTCCAGGTCGTAATCGTCAGCTTTGCTGATTCGGCGCAAAAAGCTCATGGGACCAGGGAAGCCAAGTTCGAATTGGAGCATGGTAAGCATAAAGCGCTCGGCTTTGAGAATCTCATCGACGCTGTAACCACCATCGACCATGTACACAATTTCCTGGACCGACGGACAATTGATCTCTTCATACTTGGCGGCGATGAAAATGGCCGTTGCACCCACAAGCTGTAGTTTGCCGAGAGACACGACCTTGCACGACAGGAACCGATCGATGTAATTGACAGTGAGGAATAGGGTCTCTGGTAAGAGATTGAATCGGAGGTGGACTTGAACAAGCCAATCCATCAACACTGACCGCATCGACCATTGAATCTCATGTTGGTTGTCCATATAGTGCGCGTTCGGAAGCATCTTCACTTCGAGTTGTCGCATGTAATCGAATATCTCCTCTCCATACTCTGCGACCATGCTCGTGTCGTAGCTTTCATCCTCAACCTCCTCAAGAGAACGCGTGGCTTCGACCAACTGCTTTGCTGCAGCAATCTCCTTGCGGGCACGTTGGTTCATTTGCGGAAAGAGAACGGTCGTAGCGCCGCCGGTGGTATTGTCACCTCGTGAACGAAAAGACCTTGCGGTCACATAATCTTCCTCTTCGTAGTTCTCGTCATCCTCTTCGTCCCAATATTCTTCTTGCTCAAGTCGTTGCTGGATATAGGAATGGTGAGGGCTCAGGAGCGGGACGCTATCGACAACATTCACCAGACTGGCCACGGGAATGTGTTGTGGCTCTTTTCGCATCGCGGCAACGTGGGTTTCTACGGAGGGTAGAATATTTTCGGGCAGAGATCGTTCAGAGGGCTGTTGCGAAAGTTGCTGGGCAACGTGGTTTGAGGTAGTGATGATCGCATCGTTCACCTGTGTCTCGCTATTTGGCTCGCTCGAGAGTGCAGGACCCAGATTTACGCCTTCAATGCCAGGCAGGCTAGTGTCTGAATGAAGATCTTGGGTGTCTTTGACCGGCTCGGCAGGAACAACAACAGGTGCTGGTAGAGGAAGGACGCAAAGCTGAGACTGTATTCCAGGAGTCGCTGAGCTCGAGTGCTTCTCACTCCCCGTTGGTTTTTCATTCACTGACTCGCTCAAAGCTATTTCTGTCTCTTGAAGCACAGCCAGGTGCTGATCGTTAAAGATTGTGGTATGGCGCTTGGTCAATGTCTTTTTCGTTGCGGCAGGCTGTAGAGGAGCCACATTCTCTCTGAATGTAGCATTGGAAGAGATCTTGGATGTCCCGTAGGAAGCTGCTCCGGCAAGGATTGTTTTCAACCCCTTTTGGGCGGGACGAAGGAGCGCAATGGATCTTCTTTGGTCAAGAGATTGAGTAGGCTTCACGACAGCCTGCAGACTCGGCTTGGTGTGCAATAATAAATCATCTTTGCTAGGTCTGCCTGCAGCGATATTGCTCACGTCTCCAAACGCAGTTCGCTTGGCCGCAGCCTTCAGCCCTTGAGCTTCGGCGAAAGTAGTTGTAAGTGCTGGACTCGATTTGTTTCGATGATGGATTGTTTTAACGACCTGGCCTTCGGGCGGGACATTTTCGTCGTTTCTGACGCGTATTGGCCGAAGGGGGCGCTGTGGCTATCAGAGAAGTATACATTAGCCCAGATGTTCCTCGACGGGGAAGTTTGGATTAAAGCATTGGTAGAGCAAGCCGCGTCTCGACAGTGTGTGACAGGCTCTAGGGAGAGTCTTCCTTACCTTGACATCCATATTGACGAGGCGTTATACCTGTGATGGGACTGCGAAGGGACGCAAGCTGCTCGAACTCGAATGGACGATGAGCTCTTGGAACCCCCTTAGATTTTGCAAAGCGCGACACGGACAGGTACATTCAGTCCGAAGAGAGGAAGGAACAAGGTCGTGAGAGGAAGAGGATGGTCAAGGGAAAGAGTATCGATGCAGAAGCTATGCCTGTGGAAAGGAGCACAGCATATGGGTTGGTCCTGGCAACAAACAAAACGGCATTATTTATTATTATGGGATTATGCAAGGTCGAGCAACTCGCATGTAAACACGAACGTTGATCGGTCATTGGATTGGCGCCGCGGCTCTTGCCGCCCTTAGCTTGGCCCGTCTCACGCTAGTCCATTCCTGGATCTATAAACACTTCGCGTACTTCAACAGACCTCACTTTTGCTTTTGCCCACGTTTAGCAGCGCCACGAGGAACAAAATATAGGACAAAGTAAATCTTTGCCACAGGATAGTATTTTGGTAGGAGTTCATATATTTTTCACAGCGTATTCGTACTGCTCAATTCGGTTAGGGCCAAAAAAGTAGAAAATGACGTCAACGCGTCGCGCAAATCGCCAAATCACGTGCTTTCGCACACATTGACGAAGCTGGGTGTGTTGCCTCCAGATCCAATACCATGTTCAGTTGCTACTACATTCTCCTGATTGTATTTATCACTATGAAAGAAAAGCAGAATGTTTGATACGTCGCCACTTTCCCAACAGCAGCAAATTTCTCTCCTCCAATTCGGACTCTGGAAGTGATGGGGGGATTCCCTCGGACGTTTTTGTTTTAGGCGCTTACTCAACCTCAAACGATGTCATCGGACCGCAGATGATCCAGAATCTGATGACATGGAGGGTTGCTTGATACAACTCAAAATGATAGCTGTTCCGCGCTCTAATTGCAGTCAGATATCTGAGGCTGTGTCTGGAAGGAATCTGCGACCTCGAACACTCTCAAGACGATGCTCTGTCATGATGGAGGCGATGGGACTAACATATTTAGGCTGCGCATTTCCTGTTTGGGTTGCTTATTGCAATGTCCCACAAGAGCAATATTCGTACGTGCGCAAAGATCATTTTCCCAGAAGAAGGTTGAGCTGAACATCGCGCGGAAATATGTGCGACTTGAGATGCAACCAACCCGAGGTTTCGGGGTTTCAGTTTCTTGCGCAAACTCTGATTTTGGCGATTCAGGCTTGTCATTTGTACGGCATGTGATGGCCCCAATTGGCACGATCCTAAATGCGCCGAATTGCGCTTACGACTGGCAGACTCCTAATCTCTCGAATAATGTTTCGTCAACAGAGCCCATGACCTGGTTTCTTTTCGGACGCTGCAACCCATACTGGGGTGTGCGGGAATGCGACTGCAATAATTTCGTCAATCTCGGCACAAGGTTAGCGAGCTGAAAACTCACGACGACCAAGAAGGTGCTGTCTCGAAATACGAGTAGTCATGGGCATCCGGCTCGGTTCCGGCGAGTCGTCAACTTTGTGTGTACATACAGTTATATATCTACAAGCATGCAACAGGTACAGGCGACGGCCATCACGTTATCGAGCAGATAGCGCCAGGTTTGAGGTCGCCGCCAGTTCCGCCATCCATCCCGCCAAGATGCTGGTCGGTGTGGGAACTTGCAGCTGGTGCGTTGCAGATCGCCCAGACGATAGACATATCATTGCCGCCGTGGCGGGCTCGCAACAAGTCGCACCTAGAATTAGGGTGGTCTTTATCAGCAGAAGTCCAGCCAGCCAGACAGTCCGAATGGAGCGAAGTGGACGGTGGGCAGCACCGTGAACCCTGAGGGAGGTAATGTATCCTGTGGCAGCCACTGCGGCAGCCCACGCTTGAGTGGTTGAGGGGATTGGTCCAACGATGGCGACGGATGCTTGCGTGTTCTTGACGACGGCCTCTTGAACGGCACCAGACTCCTTGGGACTCCACCTGCATTATTATTACGGCTCAGAAAACCTCTCCAGCTCACCCATGGTCCATCGGAGCGCTGACGCTTGCTAATCTTTGCCATAGTGGCCCATACAAAGCCCGCCGAATCCGCTACGGCTTCGGCCACTTTCTCGAACATCATTTCAACCAAGTGAGGGGTTTGGCTTTTCTTCCTTATTCTTTGGTTTCCTAGTTCCAGCGCATCGCCGGGCCAGGTTCGCAAGTACTGTCCTCACTTTTCCGACCATCAGCTCCGCCCGCTGACTGCCTCATGGTTTTTCCCTTCTTGTCTGCCCACCTCTGATTGCCTGGCCTCGGCCCCAGCCATACAAAATCCAAGGCACGGCTCTCAGCCTGCCAGTCCCAATGGCCAGCAAAGACACCGCTTCGGGTCGTCACCTGGCATCCTTTTAGCTCGTACACGGGAAGATATGCCGTCACAAGATAGCGCTACGAACCCCTAGGGTTGCTGGCGGTCGAAAAAAGACAGCGCTGTGGGTTTTGTCCCGTCTAGATATCTTTCGTAGTCACTGGAGTCGTCGCCAGATACTGAGACTTTCTTCTTTGCTGGGTCGCTCTTTGTCGCCGGCATTGACATTCTAGTCGCAATAATTGGGATCGCGAGAGTATTTGTGACTCGTTCGGAATAAATAATAAATCAATTCCTAGATAATACACAGTGCGATAGCCACGTTCTTGTGGTACGAGTACGTACTGGCATTTGTTGGACCGGGGGTGGGCCTCGTTTCACACGCCCGTTGACTATTGCGGTATCCCAAGCCTCAGTCCGCACCTTGAACTTCCTTTCTTCCCTAGACCTCTCACCTCCCCCCCAGTACCTCTGATTTCCATTCATCTACGCCGTCGAGGGCCTTTTGTCTGTCTACTAGAGAGGTTCCATCGTTTATCTTTTCTCTCGGGCACTCTGTCGTCTACCACATTCCACTGTCACCGCTACGACACACCACCGCAGCCACCATGCTGTAACCCTCGATCGTATCTTGACGGTTGAGCCGGATGCTGTTGCAATTGCCATTGCGCACATTCTCTTCTATCTCTTCTTGATCTCAGGGCCATCGCAAGCATCCACACTTTTCATCTGAAAGCCTCGACTCATTGTAAGTGTCACAGAATGGGACTAGGAACCCAAGCCCGTTGTCCTGCTCCCACCCAAGACTCACACCATCCCTGGTCCATTTTCCCAACAGCTTCAGTGCTCCCAAACATTACCATCCAATGTTGTATGAACTCCAAACTAATACTTACACTCAGGGCCTCTTTCAATCGAACAATAAGCCGAACATCCTCCGTCAAGCGTCCTCTACCTGAAGCCAACCTTAGATGATTCCTCCCACGTCGTCAGAGTTATAAGAAGGCCGTCACATATATCTAAGCCGTTAGACAAGATGCAAGTCTCTAGCCTACTTTCAGCCGAAGACCATGAAATGTCGCCGACAAAAATGCCTCCTGCAAAGTCTGTCTCCTTCGAGCTCCTGCTGGACGAAGGCTCTAAAACCAGGGCGAGGATTCCACTACGCATTGTGCTCAACATGCATGATAGCACCGAGTCCATCATAACAACAGTCAAGAACTTCTACGGCATATACGATGGAAACGGAGTGAGTTTCGAAGATGCCTGGGGTAACACTCTCATTGCCTCCTATGACAATCTCGTCCATAATTCTACTGTCTATATGCGCATTGTGCCAGCTCCCCAGACTGCGTCTAATCCATACCCACACGCCGTCCACAACGGCGAGAACGGCTATGAACCTCGACGCCGACCCAGTTTGGGCGAGCCCTTTCAGATGTTGCCACCTCACATGCGCGAGCAATCCCACTCGCCTTCGAGGCCTGCGTCCAGGGTTGCTCGTAAGCGGAGCGTTTCTCCAACGCAAGGGCGCGGCCGTCGAAGTGCGTCGCAGCAGAAAGCATCGTCTTATGCGGTTGTCAGCCGGGCCTCAAGTGCCACGGGAAGCTTTCATGACGAGAACGGATATAGCGACAGTGAAGCTGGGCGCAGCTCAATCTCTGGATCCAAGAAAGCTCGAAGCGAGCAATTTGCTAGCTCCGACATCAGTACCGCCAATGTCCTTCAAGATGGGCGCCGTGGACAGCCCATCTTTGACAGTTCGGTAAGTCCCCAGATATGATTTACAATTGCCTCCTTGCTGACTTGCACTCCCAGACTCTTCCTCTTTTCGTCCCTCCTCAGGTCCCGGTGACTGCATCCCAGTCTTCCATCTCACCTCAACGACGTTCACTCCCCCAGGAAGGCCCTTCACCCTTGCATCCTGCAAGTCAAAAAATATACGGGCTGCAAAATGTCCCTATACTCTCTCCACAAAGTTACGGACCCAGTTCCCATGTGTTTGGTAGCGGCGATCAAGGAGCAGGCGTTGATATGGCAACACCTGTACCCCAACATGGTCACCGACTACGTGACAGATCCAGCATGCAGCAGTCATATATTGGGCGACAAGGATATAACGGGAACGGGATCCTACCGACACCAGATCCCACAGTAGCAAGTTGTATTTCAGATGAAGACGTGGCCCGTACCCTGATTGCTCTGGGTGATGCCTCCAACTACTCTCATGGGCGCACCTCTAATTCGACCATGGATGAGACTTTTAGTGGTGTTGCGGATGCGGCTTCATCGACTGGTGCAACAAGTGACAGTGACGAATACAGTGATGCAGAAGGCGGGCTCCCCAAACACAGAAAGTATCTTGATGACGAGGACGAGGAATATGCTCACGACAGCATAAGGGGCGATCATGAGGATTACGAGGGTCAGCCCAAAACCAAGAAAATCAAGACGAAAATGCATGACGGCCCATCCAATGGGTATCGGTCCAAGTCGGCTGGGTTAATGAAGCAGGGGAAATTACCCAAGGCTAGGCCAAACGGTCCTCCAAAGATTGTCAAACATTCGACACAACCTGGGCTTATGAAGGCACCGTCCGCACCGGCGTCTGCCGGACAGGTCAGGAAGTCGTCTGGTTCAAGCCTCAACTTTCAACACCAACTCGCCGCGGATGAGGAAGATCTGTCTTCCAAACCCCGTTGTCAGCGATGTCGAAAGAGTAAGAAAGGCTGCGACCGCCAGCGCCCTTGCGGGCGTTGCAAGGATGCTGGCATTGGCATCGACGGATGCATCAGCGAAGACGAAGGAAATGGCCGAAAAGGTCGATATGGCAGGCATATGGGGGTTCCGGTGAAGAAGCTCGCCGAGGACCTTCTGACAGAGCAATCTGATTCTGTCGCCGGCGCAGCCGATGGGTTGATGGACTCAATTGGGACATACGGGAGTCCTGACAAGAACAAGAAGAGGAAAAGGTGATCGGCAACCACAAAAACGGCCTCGATTTACCAAGGAAAGTTTAGGAGGATGTTCGCAAGGCCGGACAAGAACAAGCGAAACCAGAGGCAACAGGGAATAGACTGGGGGATTAAAGGTTGCAAAAATTTGGATCCAAATAGGCCGCGAGGCCGTGGTGTGACGAGATTGATGGACTGGCAATGACGCGGCAAGTTGTTTTGATCCTTTTGTGTTCGCGGTTGTCGAATGCTTCTTGACTCGAGAAAGAGTTGCGCGACGGTCGAGTTTGAACAAACTGCATGGGTATTCCTTTTGTGTTGTGTTGACTGGTGGACGAAATGGGCGCATCTTTGTGATCTATTTTTCGATGCAAGGAAATTATCGATTAACCACCGGGCACGGAAGGACTTATGAGTGTATGAAATGAGAAGGGTCCTATCTTTCGAATGCTATCAAGAAATTTGACCACCTTCAACTCTGGAGTGACCAAGTTTTCATCGCATACGTAGCCTCGTCGTGGAGGGTGGGGGTGCTTTGGAACCCCACCACACGTGACAAGGCTGCTCATATTATATAATCAATGCGGGGAAGTTCCAGCAAATGCGTCCCTCTCAAAACGGACTTGTTTGGAGAAAAAAAGTGAAAGTTGTCTCTGCCAAAAAGGTCACCAAGCACCAGCCAGTGGGCTCACCATTCTCAGGAAATCTGCCTTGACAATAGTCAGCTGCGTTCATTATAGGCAGCGACTCAATCGGAACTTTTCCTACTCGTTCATTCCACCATCTGGCAAGATTGAGCTTTTTCAACTTGAAGTTTTTTTTCCGCACTCTCCGAATGTCTTCCACCTCATGATCCTCCGAGTTCTGCACTGGTAAAAGAAACACCTCCCCGGCGGGCAGCCGCGGGCCATTAGTCATGTCGGACGGAGCGTCTTCCACTCCCCTTACGGCAAATGCCAGATCTACCCCACGAGGCGGCGGTACTGCCGCTGCCGCGAGACCGCGACCTCGAGCGGGAATCCAACGCAAGACCAAAGCCGAACGAGAACAGTTTGCGAAAGAAGAAGCCGAACGACAAAAGGCTCGAGCAGCTGAGCAAGAGGCAGCCAATCGCGGTGCACGAGGAGGAAGAGGTGCGAGTCGGGGAGGCAGAGGAAGCAGCGCAGCCACGCCCCAGAGAGAGGAGCCAGTAGGCGCAGGGGGTATCTTCGGGGCGGGGTCCAGTGCAAGGATCTCTACGAGGCCGCGTACAAGCTATGAAGGGTACGGTGAGCTTTTGGAAAGTGGTGTGCGAGGTGGACTCCCAGAAGATGCGCTTCAGGGTGCTTCGGCGTCAGGCAAGGCCACAACCACAGGCCGCAACGGGACTGGCCATGCAGGAACTTCTGCAGGCGGAAGAGGTGGAATTTCAGGTACAACAGGTGAAGTGTTCGATGCGGCGACGGACGAAGAGCCCGACGACGACCGAAAACGAGACATTGAGCTCATCATGATCTCGAGCGATGACGACGAAGACATGATCACATCAAGATCAAGAAAAGGGAAACAAAAGCCTACGGGTGGCAGCAAAGGAAAGCCTCGCAGAGCGCTGGGTCTACGACCAGTGCGTGCGCCGCGAGCAGACAAAGAAGCCGAAGGCCAGGAAGGAGACACGGCACGCGTCCGCAGCAAGACGAGCCGCTCCGCCATGGGTCAGAAATCCGACGGAGAGACTCAAGACGTCGACAGCAAAAGTGACCGAGACGACGATACCGAGGACGCAGACAATGACTCTCTCCAATTCGTCAAGGAACAGCCCTCTAGTCCCGAAATGAGGAAGCGGACGCTGAAAAAGCAGCTTGGTGCTGGCAGGATCGGGCGGGATGTCAAGGGCCATGCGACCGAGACGGCCGACGAGCGCGCGGAACGAATAAGAGCTATGCAGGACGTACAGAAGCTGAGGGATCTCTTCGTGGCCGCACCACCAGCAACTGGTGTGAAAATGGAAGTTGACGAAGACGAAGGGAAATCGTCGTCAGAGGAGTCGTCAGAAGAGGTCATATCCAAAATAAAAGACGGCAAGATGTTCCTCTTCCAACTTCCACCACTCACACCCTTCCTCGTCAACTCGGCCACCATGCAACCGCACGACGGAGGAGTCAAAGTCGAGCCCGGAACCGACGGCAGCGCCACGGCCGTCGATCTCAATGTCACGAATACCGACGCCGCCGCCGGCGGTGACCCGGACGGTCTTGCCAAAGCGACGAGACCAGACTTGCAGATGGACGGCCTGCTCACGGCTGCCGAGCCGACGCGTCTGCCCGCGGGCATCGTGGGCAAACTGCGCGTCCACACATCCGGCAAGGTCACCCTAGACTGGGGCGGGACGGACATGGAGGTCCGCTACGGCTCCGAGGTGTCTTTTCTACAGGACGTTGTCCTCGTCGAGCCCGGGCGCAAGCAAGAAGACGCGGGTGCCGGAGAGGACGGGCACGAGCACGAGAACGGTGGTGTTGGTAGTAACAGTGGCGACGAAGACCATAACAAGGCAGAAGACGAAGAGAAAAAGGACATCAAGGGCACCGTGTACGCCTTGGGCCCTGTGAGGAGGAAGATGGTCCTCATCCCCGACTGGGTCAAGTTGTACGACTGACCGACCGGCCAAACCACAACCACAACCACAACTTCTTGCCCGATCACCTCAGCCAGGTCTGGCTTTTCGTCCGGCTTGATCCACAAAAGTCATCGAGTTTGGCTAGTAGGCAGACAGACAGACTAGTCAGGCACAATATGTATGTGTGGTCGGGTCCCGTGTCAATCATGGGATAAAAAGACTTCCCCTCGAGGAAAAAGGGATGGGTGGTTCAAAAAACTCCATACATTACCTCCCACGTGCCTGCGTACCTGCGCTAGATAGACAGATTACCTGGGTGGACAGACACCTAGATACCTAGGTCGATATGCCCTCTGTTCTGTCCTCTGTATATCCCAGCCCCAGCCCCGGCCTGTCTATGTCTGAAAGACCACAAAGACCACGCCCATACATGAATATGCAGCATGCACGCACACTCTCATACTGATTTTTTTTTCTTTTCTTTTTCTTCTTTTTTTGTTTCTTTTTTTTTTTTTTTTTTTT